ATAAAAAAAATCCTAACTGAAAAATGATATAAACTTGAAATGTTTAGCAAACATCAATCTCTAAAAGCAGATGAGGCCTATTGATTGTGAAAACAATCTGGTTGAAAATGGGGGTTAAGGGGGTCTGTTAAAGTACGAAGAGTATCCTCTAGAATGCCAGGCATTATATATCTTTATTCTAGTTTGTGTCTGTGTAATATGTATTGTGATGGGACCGGATGGGACTGATCTTATAAAATAAACATTTAAAACATTTTAGTTCTTATTTTATTTGCCAATAAAAGGTATTTAAAAAATATATTTTTTATTTGACATCTGTGACAAATTGTGAAAATGATTAAACTTACAATAAAAACTAAAAAATGGTAGGTAAAGTTTCATATAAAATTTTTTACACAAAAATCAATGTAAAGTTTCTACATTACCTGATATATATTTAAAAATAATCTCAAATTATGAGTAAAAGTCAGTTTACTAACTAATAATGTTTAGATTGTTTTCAACGTATTAAAAAAAAAAAAAAACAAATATTACACTAACTAAAATATTCATTTATTAATAGTTGTAATGCTTGAAAACAGTATGATGTTGATAATAATAATTACACTTAATACAAACTCAGATAATAAAAAAACAGTGATATTGGCTCTTGTACAAGGTTTTGATCCGAACTTACAAATGATAAAATTATTGGAAACAGTGAACACCCATTTCAAATTACCACGAGCCGCCACTGGAGATGATGCAGTGTGTAGATTAAAACCACCAACTATACAGAAGCTAGAGTTAGGAAATTTTTCAGATAAAATATCAATATTTTCACTTAAGGAAATGAATTTCTCTGTTGGTGATGTAGGTAGGAGGTATATCGCACCGATTATGAGAGGGTGCTTGGTAGATCACAGCAACATATATTTGTAGATGATTGTATGATTCGATTTGGAATAGTTGTTCTAATAGCAATTAGGACACCGCTCCCTCTTGAAGCTGAACTTGTAAGAAGAGATGGATCTTTACGATATATATTATATCCATTAAGATTGAGTTCGGATCAAGGCTTCACTTAAGATTAATATATCATATGAAAAAGCTTGAGAATTTTAATGCACAATATAGTTTAGTACGTAAACCTCGACAATTCTGGTAGAAAATGGAGTAAGGCGGTGATATAGAATAATTAATAACTAGTTTTTTTTGGACGATTTGTGGTGAGCCCCTTATATATTTTGTTCCCCCTATGAAATCCTCTCCTTAAATTATTGATATCTTACAGTTTTTTTCATGTTCTTGTTCCCTTCAGCTTGGAGCGGCCTTTTAGAACCGTTTGTGCGTCATAATTACTGGGTGGGATTACTTTAAGACTTATGCTGCCGAATTTATTATTTTTCCCGAATCTTGTTTTCTGAATAGGTATAGGCTCGAAAGATTTTTTTGAAAAGAGTATTGACCGCATCCATATCATCAGCTGATTCTGTTAGATTAAAAATCATAATATTATCTGAGCTCTTTTGACGTACATAAAGTTTGATAAGTTGTTCTCATGATTGTTTTGAGAATCATTTTCAATTTGTTCTTTCATAAATTTAAATTCGTTTTTCAGTTCCTTAATTTCATTGACTTTATCGCGTTTCAGCTGATCTATTTCATGTTTCTGGAAAATCACACAACTAAAAAAGTATTTAAATACTATTGAAGACGCTTTAAAAGAAAACTCTAGGCTTATATGTAAAACAATTTAATGAAAAAGTGCATTTTAACAGACGTTTTATGCAGTTGCCAATTCGAGCAGTTTTTTCTAGTAAAACAAGAATTGACATTTCGTGGTCATAATGAAGATAAATCTTCCGAAAATCGCTCGAAGCGAAAATCACGGTAATTTTAAGGAACTTTTAGATTCCTATATCTCACTCAGTTCTGTAGACATTCAAGAACACTATAAAAAAATTTCGCTTGTATTTGTCGCAACTTCTAAAATAATTCAAAATGAATTAATAAACTGTATTTCTCAATATACGGAGTGGCCCAAAAGTCTGAAAACGGCCAATTTTCTCGTAAATTGTTAGTCCTAATTGTACAAAATTTGGGGTACACCTATTTTGGGATATTTGCAATGTTGCCAGATTTTCCGTTTCTCTTATATTATTAGTCACTTTGGTTTTTCAAATTGATCACCCTGTATATTAAGTCATTATTGGAATCTCCTATTCAATACGAGTTCAACCATATGTAACACTTATGATTTTATGTAGTCTGCAAATTAAAATAAAGTAGTTTTATCAGTTAGGTTAGTAAAAAATACAAATATTGTGACAATAAATGGGGTGTCTAAATGCATATCTAGTTGAAATTTAATAATTTAACAACATTCAATCTGCTGTACTAAACAGTTGACTAAAATGACATAGTGCAGTTTACCTCCTAGGCACAGAAATATATTCACATTTTATGAAATTATTTTAAATTTCATCTGGCTTAAAATTTAATTCTGACAAATGATGCACCTTCTTAAAACTAGTTGATCTGATAAAAATTTGTTATTTCTTTCTTTTTTTTTAGAGAAATTTGTTATTCATGGCGAAAAAGGCATAGACAACTTGTGCTTACCCTCAACTTCAGCAGAAGTAGAATCTATTGAACAAGTTCATAGTCAACCATCTGTTCCTCTACCTTGTGCAACAGCACAAATCCAAACAAGTAGTGTATTATCATCAAACACTCCAAGAAAGCAGATACCGCGACTGAAGATAGCAACATTAAGGAAACGTTTGTTTGTTGCAAAAAAGAAGAAAAATCCAGCCTCCGAATATACATTGAAAGATTTTCATGCTATGTGCAAGCAATTTTAAAAAAAATCCTTTGCAGATATTGTAATTTCTCAGAGCTTATTACATAGTTGTATATTAGGATGTAGCTATTTTAATAAAGCTACTTATCTATGTATTATAAATTAGGCTTGCTCTATAAATGTGTGTAAACAATTTTAATTATTTTAATTTTCATACACTTAAAACGATTATGAATACTATGTAATAGCTTTAACAAAATATGTCATAGGTGTGTGATTCTTTTTTTAGACAATATAAGTCTAATTAAACATGTACGTAATTTGAGTACAACCTGTTTTTTTTTACCGTTTTTTATAATATATGTATGTACTATTATCAGGTATATATTTGTTTCACTATTGTTTTTTAATTTCATTTTTAGTTTTATTGGTATTATAAATTATTATTAATAATAAGTATCCTTATTGCATATGTAATAAAAAAGAATCTTAAAATAATTCCATTCAAAAATTCTATTTTAATAAAATACATGCATATATTGTAAACTTATCAATTACATAAATATATGTTTTTTATTTTTCTTTTGTTTTTATTTATAAAATCCCTAAAATACGCTTTAGCTAATGATTTTTTAACAATTATCCCAATTGATTTATACTTATGGATCATAAATGACTAGTAAGATTTGTGGCACAATATTAATAGTTCATTATGACAGGGTAAAATAAACTATTGTTTAAAACTTTATAATTTTCATTTTTGAAACCTCTGTCGGAAGTGCTACAAATTGAAAAATATTTTACTTAAATCAAGAATAGTTTAAAATTCATTCATCCAAATTTTCATAAAATATGACAACATAATTCTGTAAAAGATAAATGTAGTTTTCGCAGTGTAGGTTCAGTGAATAGCTACGTTCGCGTGTACTGTGAATAGTTACGTTTTCTCAGAGTATCTTTATGGTGGAACTCAAGGTCAAATACTTCTATCCCTTCAACTTCAAAGTTCCGACCATTACTTTCTTTTCTGTATTGTCACAGGCCTGTCACTCCCTATACTTCCCATGTTAAATTCTGGCTCAAATCTCAATGACCTCGGCACCTCTTCCCTATTGGTCTGGGGTATTTTTGACAAGTCTGGGGTCACCAATCAGCACGTTGGTTGCTGTCACATGGAGAAAAATGATATCGAAAAGTAAAAAATATTCAGATTTGAAGCCACTTGAAGACAAAATTAGTGTCGTTATTACAAAATTTATGTTTTTTTGGTTTTTAAAATAATATTGACGTCGATGCCTCCTCCTTATTGGTCTGGAGTATTTTTGACAAGTCTGGCCCCACCAATCGGAGCGTTGGTTACTGTCACATGAGAAAAATTACATTTAGAAAATTGATTAGTATTTTTGCAGTTTTTCACTGCATAAACCTTCATGATGTAATTTGTATTGAAAAAATACAGATCTATAACAAAATTAGATTATAAATAAATGTTTGAAGCAAAAGGAGAAATGATCAGAAAGCTAGGTTATATTAGATTAGGTACATTTACCCGCGTAAAATATTTTAAATTTTCAAGGTCACAGACTTTCAGATCGATTGACATTTCAGTGCGATCTCTTGTGTTAACTATACTCTTTGGTATTGTTCTTTCATGAAAAGTGATACATTTATTAGTCAAAATCTCAGAGTAGTAGTCACAATCTCAGATTATCTAAGGTCACAATTACCTGGACTAGTAATCAGTAGACTTGTTTTATCTGGAGATAAGTTTTTATAGTTTTTGCTTTTTTTTGGAAATCACAATTACACAATAATTAGACCGAATTTGGTCAGGTTCTTAGCTATAAAGTAGTCAACTAAATTATATACACACAGTTGAAGTAATGAAATTTTTGCACCACTTTTACCGCTATAAAATGATCGTTTTCTGAAAGCCCTAAATACTTGTGTCTATATCAAACTAATCGACATTTATTTATTATACAATCTATATAATGATTAATAGAGTAAGACTTCAGTTGTTAATAAAATTAAAAAAACCCTTTTTTTTAAACAGAAGAGACTTGTACTTCTGCCCTCTACCTGATTACCCCTTTCTCTATGTTTAATAATTTTTTTTTTGCATAGGCACATTGCCATTCAGCCAGACACTAATATGTTTAATGTTAACAGGCTTAAAAATCAGAATTGTTCGAGATATGAAAGAAAGTCTTACCTGACCAACGGGCGGCTTCTTCTCATCATCAGGATAAACGTTGATTTCTCGATATCTAAAATGAACCAATTCGTCGATGTTCAGACCGTAAACGTCCATTTCTTCGGGGAAATAGACATTTCCGTAGCCTTTTCTACCGATCGTGAAACCTTTAACCATACAACGACCAAGTTCATCAATATATTTGACCAATTCCTCTGGACTGGGCAGGATATAATACTCAGGTCTGGTACAGACGATGTTGCATGGATAACTTTTCTTGTTTTCACCCGTTGCGTTTAATGCAGGCTCTTCTGTTTCAACTTCGACATCTACTACAGAGGGTTTGTTGCTCTTTTGAATGTTATCTAAAAATGTTATTAATTTTTTGATAAATATGTTTTAAGACAAATAAAAATACATGTTCATATTAATAGTATATTATTCTATAGAATATCAAAATCTAGAAATATATGTAGGTATATAAACATCGATATACTAAAAAAAAGAAACTAACGAAACAAACAAATATTTAAATATAATGAATTTCAAAGGTTTTAAATCATATATAAATAAACCAACGAGAGTACAAAATGAGTCAAAAACTGCCATTGATCATATTTTTATTAGAACTCATAAAAACCTAATACCACGAACGACAACCCTGTTTTTCTAGCTCTTTCAGGGGACAGTAACGAAACTAACACACGACATATCTACAAACACTTACAATTCCCGATTATAATCCCTCCTAATCCCTCAATAATACCCCTTGGGTAAGGAGTGAGGGCGGCTATGTTTAGCAAACTCAAAACAGTGGAAATATGTTCACATATAACAGGCGGAGGAATCGTCTTTGACTCTATCGGTTTACCAATAGGGTCGCATGCTGTACTGCGTACAGTGTGTTTGTATTATATGTATATATATTGTTGTCAAAAAAGTTTTAAAAATTGAATAAATGTTTTGAAAAATAAAAAAAAATAAAAACCTAATAAAAAACGTCGAACTTGAGCCAATTATATTTCACACAGATATGACAGATCACTATTCTCCTTTTATACTAATATCTTTTCCTACACAAAAAAATGAGGAACCCCAATCAAAAAACAAAGTGACCATAATAAATTTTAATAATCTAAAACATTGTTTAAGCAGAGAAAATTGGAATGATGTAATTAATACGGCTGAACCACAAAAAGCATACGATTTATTTTTCAATAAGATAAATCAACAAATTCAAAAATGCACTAAATCTACAATTAAAACAAAAAATATAAAAACTAAAACCATGGATAACAACAGGTTTAATACTTTCAATAAAAAATAGAGACTAAAAACTAACAAAAAAATACACTCTAGAACTTGAAAACCAGTATAAAAATTACAGAAACAAACTTCATTCCTTAATAAGAAAAACAAAAAATGACTATTATCAAAATAAAAATACACAAGCCGGAAACGATTATGAAAAAATATGGAAAATCATTATTGACATAACAGGTAGTACAAAAAAAACTAAGCAAATTGAAAACATATCTATAAAATCAGAAAATAATGATAATATAAACAATAACAAAGAAAAAGCTGAAGAGTTTAATATTTTTTTTACAAATTTAGGATAAAATATGGCAAATAAAATACATAAGGTAGTACCAGCAGTAAACTTTCTTAAAAATGATAAAGTTGAAAACAACATATTCTTTAAACCCGTAACAAAAAATGAAGTAACTATTTTAATAAGCAAATTAAAAAATAGCTGTGCACCTGGTCCAGATAAATTAACAGCAACTACAATAAAAAATATAAATGAATATATTATTCTTCCTATAACGCATATCCTTAATATTTGCTTTCAATCAGGAAAAATTCCAAGTCAATGGAAGGAATCAATTGTCACACCTGTATACAAATCCGGAGACCCTAGTGAGCTTACAAATTATAGGCCAATTTCTGTTATCAACAACTTCGCTAAAATTTTTGAAAATGCAGTAAAAAGTAGATTAATTAATTATTTTCATAATCATAATGTTATTACAGATTGTCAATACGGTTTTATACAAAACTCAAGCACTGAAAATGCGGTAGTTGATTTTTTGGAAAAGACAGTTAATGTTGTAGATGAATCATTAAAATGTGCTGCAGTATTTCTTGATTTGGCCAAAGCACTTGATACCGTTTCCCATAACATTTTACTTCACAAACTAAATAACTATGGCATACGGGGTTTAGCATTAAGGCTCCTGAGGGATCATTTATCTAATAGAACCCAGAGCGTAAAAATTGGCAACGCCGGAAGTTCTAAATCAGTAGTAAAGATGGGGGCTCCAATTCTGTTTCTGGTCTATATGAACAACATTACACAAATTAATAACTTATCTGGGAATATAATATGCTATGCGGATGATACGGTAATTATTTTCGCTGGAAAAGAATGGGAAGAGGTTAAACTCACTGGAGAAACGGCCCTGAGGAAGATAATTTTATGGTTAAATAACAATCTACTAACTTTAAATGTATTGAAAACAAAAGGCATTACTTTTAGTTCAACCATCGTTAATCAACCTAACAGCTTTTGTATAAAATTGCATAGTAGTGACTGTAAAAGAAAACGATTGTAACTGCCCCTTGATAGAAAGTTTCTCAAATTAAATACCTAGGTGTAATACTTGATCAATACATACGTTGGTCTGAGCATATTGTCCATGTTAGTAATAGACTGAGAGCCCTAATGCACAAATTTTATGTTCTTCGGGACATTCTTTCAAAAAACAAAAATATAATGATACTTTATAACTCCCTAGAGGAATCTATATTAAGGTATTGCATAGTAGCATGGGGTGGAGCATTTAACACCACTATTAAAATTGTAGAGACATAACACAATATTATTTTAAAAATTATCCTAAAAAAAGAGAGACTATTTTCTACAAATAAATTGTACGATGAATGGAACATACTAAACGTCAAATTACTTTTTGCTTATCAACGTATAATGAGAATATATACCAATGCTGAAAATTTTACTCACAAAAATACCCGCCTAACACGCTCAGTCGCTAATATGGAGATTCCTGTACAATTTTTCAAAAAACCACTTAGTCAAAGGTCATTATCATTCTTTGGCCCAAAATTCTTTAACATAATTCCGATACACCTCAGGCAAATAATCAAAACAAAAAAGTTTAAAATTGAAATAAAAAAATATTTAATAACAAATAAAAAAAATACGATCTAATGATAACATAGTATAAATAAAAAACATATTAAAAGTCAAAAGGACCATCGTAGTTTTTGTCTACTTTTCCTAAGGTACTGTCTATTTTTTATTTATCGGTTTATTCTGTCGAATTTCTTCGTCCCTTGTTCTTATTTTTAAATGTCTCTAAAAAAATATGTACATAAATAGAGTCATCTGATTGATCAGAAGCAAAACAGGCGGCAGAAATGCCTAGGTTCGATGCTCAATCAGATGTCTTTAAAGATTTTTTTTTCTGTATAACTATTTTTTTACTATTAGGTAATGTACTTTAATATTTAAACAAATAAATTTGATTTGTTTGACATTATGAATGTGAAAAATACAAGGATTCTATAGTTATGCACTTTTTCAACATTCTGTTGTGTAAACAGGAACTGTTAGAACTTTTAGAAAAAAAATTTACAAAATTGCGTTAAATTGAATTTTTCGCTCAAAATAAACACCATTTTTGTGAGATAACCTGACGTGATAGAAAAAAAAATAACATTTTTTAAATCAACACTGAAAAGTACAAAGAAATCAGTTATCAAAGTACAATCAACTTTTAAAAATATTCATCAGTTTTAATATCTACACATATTTCAATAACATCCTATATATTACTTACCTAGCGAATTGTTTTTAATCGAAGAATTATCCAATAAGAAACTTTGAGAACCTACAACGTGGTTACTCAGATCACCGCTGTTTTCGAAATTAAGTCTGAGCGGTGATTTTCTGATCTCCGGTTGGGAATTTTGGTTAGTCCCGTTCAAATCCGGATTTAAGTTTTCATCATTATCTGGCGAACCCATGATGTGTTTTAAAATATCGGTTCTCATTATTCCTGGCGACGGGTTGTCACCGCCGCCGCTGGGCCGATTCTTTAAAATCAACCTTCGGCAATTAGTTTTGACGTATTCTTTGGAATTGACGTCTCCGTTTAACGTAGGCGATACTCCTTCGAATAAGCTGTCCTGGAATTATTATGAAAAATATATAATTTATAGAAATGAATTTATTAAAATCTGATTTATTAGTAATTTTCTAAAAATATTCATTTCACTTTTATGGACACATAAATTTAGTATTTTTAACCGACTTCAAAAAAGGAGGAGGTTCTCAATTCGTCACAATATTTTTTTTTATGTATGTTCAGCGATAATTCTTTAACACAATGTCCGATTTCAATGATTCTTTTTTTTGTTAGAAAGGGGATACTTTAGGGGTGGTCCCATATAAATTTGGTCAAAATCTAATTGTTGGGTCTATGAGAAAATCCTCAAACTCTTAATTTTTTATGTATGTTTAGCGATAATGGTTTACCACCTTGTCCGATTTATATGATTTTTTATAAGGGGATACCTCAGGGGTGGTCCGATATAAATTTGGTTAAGATGTGGTGATGGCATCTGCACGTTTTTGAAGTCGGTTTTTTTTTAATTTTTAATTTCTAACACTTGTTCTCTAACCAATTCATTTAAAATTTGATACAAATTGATATATATATAGAATGATACGACTCCGTTTCACGAGAAAAGAAGCAGCTGAAGTTGCAACAATGACACTCGCAGAAACCAAATTATGTCTTGTTTACCTACTCTAAGGATTGCATTTTCACCTGTAGTGCCTCAGTTGCACTACATACGTTAGAATGTCACAGGCTTGCCACTTTTTAGCAAACTCTTCAATTCGTGACAGTCCGAGCATGACAAACACATACTTTGATTACTATACGGGGCAAGAGAGAGGTCCGACACGCCCAACATAGGGCGCGGCCATTTTGAACCCTATGACACAGTTTACAGCTAAAGAATCAGATCGCTCACTCTGCGTCGGCACTTTTGATCTCAATGTTTCAGTTTATACACTGTGCAACTCGGATAATACAATATATGACAACCGCCTATAATAAAACAGCAGTCTTCTGCGTATCCTGAATTTGTATCCCTGGAGTGGATGTTATTTTGGAACTTTCAACTGGTCCGAGTGAGCTAACTGATTCTTTAGCAATAAACTGTGACTCCAAAAATAATATTCACTGACACTGACAGCATCAAGCAAAATATCAAATGCGTTTTAATCATCCGCTTCTGCTTCCGGAATTGTCGGTTTAGTCGTTCTAACCTGTCAGATTAAAACAAGAAAACCGACAATTCCGAAGCAGATGATTAAAACGCACCTATTAAAAATATTGCGCCAAGATGTAGGCAACACGTACTAAGGGTTCAAAATGGCGGAGTTTTCTATCTCCTTTTAAAAGGCACTCAGAAAGCTGCGCAGTGCGACCATTCTCCGTATAATAAAAGAAAATCAAAGTATGTGATGACAAAGGATAAACTATGAAGACTAGAGATAAGGAGACGAATCGACATACTCAAAACACGGTCCCAAAAAACGCATACTAATTGAGCTTCTATAATTAACCGCATGGGCGCTGGTACTGCATGCGGCGTTGAAAATACATGGCTTCTTATGGGAATTAAAATAAACTTGTTTATAGCTAAATGAAGTACAGAAAATACTGTTGTATCTATTTCTAAATAAGTCTTGCATGTTTTAATTGATAAATTATTTAATTTTATCTATATAAAATACAAATTAGGTATATATGACCAAATTCGAAAAGGTTTCTTAAATGCTGAAATTTGATAAGTACAGTTTTGTAGCAAATTTTTTTTTGAATTGAACAAATATCTAGTTTTAAGAGTAAAATAAAACACAGTTAACAGATTTTTTTTATTGTTGTAATACAAGTATAAAGGGAGATTTGGGAATGTACATGGTATTACCTCATCCTTTAATTTCAGCTTTCCCCTTTTTATTTTGCTAACAGTACCATCAATAAAAATAGTCTCATAATATTTGATAATATCTTCTAAAAAGTATAGAACACAATCATCTCTAGAAAGTGCTTTATCGGCACTAGGAACGATATACAGGGTAGCTGTTAAAGATGGAACCAAACCTATAGTGCTTAAACGGTTCAACACACAAAACCCAAAATTTCAGAATATTAACTAAATATATTTGCGCATATTTTAGCCCAAAATTTTTTTTTTTTATAAATACAAAATTTTAAGCATGGCCGCCATCTTAGGTCACATAGGTCATGTGATATATCATTTGAAAGGGTTTAACACCCTAATTACAAAAATGTATCACACATGCGGTGTAAACACAACAGAAAGGATATTATTAATAGGGAGCGTAGGAGGCTGTGCATTTGACATAAGACGTCAAATATTATAGCAATAACATTTATTGTTGATTAAGTTGCAAGATACAGGTGTCGAATAGTAAAATAATTTGTTAAATTGAATCATTTCAAAGTAATTAGTAATAATGAATCAATTGACCAAAAATGAAAGAATTGAAATACTCATGATGGTTGAGTATGGAGAAAGAAAACGCACGCACGAAGAGGTAGCCAATTTCTGTTTAGACCCCATGTGTGATACATTTTTGTAATCAGGGTGTTAAACCCTTTCAAATGATATATCACATGACCTATGTTGCTATTTAAAAAAATCAAGATGGCGGCCATGCTTAAAATTTTGTAATTATAAAAAAAAATAATTTTTGGGCTAAAATATGCGCAAATATATTTAGTTGAAATTCTGAAATTTTGGGTTTTGTATGTTGAACCGTTTAAGCACTATAGGTTTGGTTCCATCTTTAACAGCTACCCTGTATATGCTGCCACTGTTCTAAACGTTTAGTATCCTATAAAAAACATTTACAATGACACAATTGGGGTCCAAAAAAAAAATAACAGTAACAACTCTTTATCTAACATTAAAACTCTATAAAAAATAAATTCTCTTTTCTAGTAAGTTAAATTTAATGCATAATTATTGTTGTTTGTAAGTCAGCATCTACAATTGTAAAATTTTATATTATAGAAACTTGCAATAAAATAAACTACACTTCGTAAGATACATATTGTGACTAGTTTACAATAAATATTATATTTAGACATGAATACATTATTTTACTTACATTATAAGCTTTAAAAAGACATTGAATTGATTTCTTGTGTTTTCTTTAGTTTTACATTTGATTTTTATCCTGTTTTACATTCTGGAACGACGTAAATCTAGCTTTAATGTTTTTTGTTACTCATGTTACTTGTACTCAGGTACTTTTTTTCACATTATTTCGATTCTTTTCACCAATTTTTTTAAAAAATCACTTCATTTTACATTAACTTACATAGAAAATTGACTCCGCTGTTATTAGACATGCCAACTACAGTCAATTTCGCGAACTTTATAAAAAGGACGGAAATTTGACCATTGCCGATTCGCATCCTTCTCTTCATAGGATAAACTTATCTCCTAAGCAACCTCGGTTGTTAAGATTCGATTATTGATCATCATCATGATTTTAATTTTTAATTTTCATACATGTCATGTCATTTGTGCTACTAAATATACCTTATACATATCCAACAACAATTATTTAATATGATTGGATAAAAAAATTTAAAGATCCCACACATCTCTATCTCCAATTTCCACCCGCTAATTCAAGAGCATTTTTATTGAGCATTTGAGCAATGATTTATTCGATAAAAATCTATGAAAGTGATCATTCGTTTCTATGACATATTCAATAGAGACTATAAGGGATTTGTAAGTTTGCAAATTAAATTTTTGTTTGTTTTTAATTTCAAAACGACCCCGCACAAATCTTATGGAAATTGGGTCCCGGTCAAATTCGCTGAATTTTTGATATGTGATAGAAGTTCATCATACTGATCAATTGTCTCAATGGCCACAAAGCTCAAAAATGGATAGTTTGGCCGGTACAGAGCTTTAAAGCTCCGAGAATCCTGCACGGATTTATGTATATGCGCAGTGTGTATAGACTTTTGAAATAACCTATTTCATTTTTTTTATTATCTAGGTTTATATTTTTGAGGTTGCTGAATTCAGATCTATTGTTAGATTTTCAAAATTGATAGTTGGCAGCTGTCAATGTGCTATAATAAAGCCAAAAACTTGTTTTTTTATGTTTTATCTTTCTTTTTTTTTAGTTCAATAAGTTCAAAGATGATATCAAATCAATAACAATGACTATCGGCAGCTGTCATTTAGCTGTCAACAATTCTTCAAAGTCCGGTAATAAAGTCAAAAAATTATTTTTTGTTTATAACTTCAAGTTTTTTAGATAAGTGAATATAAATATGATATAAAATTATGCAATAATAGAGCAAGTAACTTATTTTTGTGCTTAACTTTGTGGATAAGAAATCAAACATGATATAAGTTTATGACATCACTTCTGAACTCAGTGATCTAAGCAACTTAAAGCTTTTTAAAAAAAGTAACTTTTTGACTATATTATTGCATTTTGATAGGTAGCTGATTGATAGGGGACAGCTGTAAGCCACGAATTTCCAAATAGAAAAATACGTTGATGCTTTTTGTAATTGTTAAAGTTTATTCCCCCTCATTATGAACATGTTCCATGTTAAAAGTTACTTTTTAATAAAACTTTAAATTGCTTAGATCGCTGAGTTCAAAAGTGATGTCATAAACTTATATCATGTCTGATTTCTTATCCACAAAGTTAAGCACAAAAAATAAGTTACTTGCTCTATTATTGCATTTTGACAGTTAGTTGACAGCTTGTTGACAGCTTTAAGCTGATGACTACATAATTTTATATCATATTTATATTCACTTATCTAAAAAACTTGAAGTTATAAACAAAAAATAATTTTTTGACTTTATTATCGGGTTGATGGTGTAGCGGTCTAACGCGCTTATATTCATTTATAGGCAAGTTTATGAGTCCGAGACTACTGGGCTTCGAATCCCAGACCAGACCATGTGGATTTTTAATTAAATTGCATGGTTCGGTTTAGGATTTGATGTGTGCCGTATTAATAGAAATTCAATTTCTATTGATATGACATGTAGATTATAAAAATCGCCATACATTATCGTCTCGATGATGGTGGGTGAGGTTTTCCGGGTTTTCCTCACCTGTAAGTCAAATGGCACCATCAATCATCCTTAAGTCGCCCCGGAGCGCCACGGCAAATAATAATAATAATAGCCGTCCCTTCCCCTACACAAGTCGTTCAGTCGACTTCAGGGGTTGAAATTCACTCGTAAGGGGGTGAATTAGGGAGAGTATTATTATTATTATTATTACCGGACTTTGAAGAATTGTTGACAGCTAAATGACAGCTGTCGATAGTCATTGTTATTGATTTGATATCATCTTTGAACTTATCGAACTAAAAAAAAAGAAAGATAAAACATAAAAAAAAACAAGATTTTGGCTTTATTATAGCACATTGACAGCTGCCAACTGTCAATTGTGAAAATCTAACAACAGATCTGAATTCAGCAACCTCAAAAATATAAACCTAGATAATAAAAAAAATTAAATAGGCTATTTCAAAAGTCTACGCACACTGCGCATATACATAAATCCGTCGAGGATACTCGGAGCTTTAAAGCTCTGTACCGGCCAAACTATCCATTTTTGAGCTTTGTGGCCATTGAGACAATTGACCAGTATGATGAACTCTATCACATCAAAAATTCAGCGAATTTGACCGGGACCCAATTTCCATAAGATTTGTGCGGGGTCCTTTGTTTTTATTAAAAACGAGTGAAAATTGACCGACACCATTTTCATATTTATTTAAGAATTAAATTTGAAATGATTACGCTATACAGGGTGTTATTGAAATACACGTACATATTAAAATGGGGAATAGTATGTAATGACCAAAAACGATTGGCACCAATTTTAACTTCAAATTCTAAAATTTAAATATTGGGGAAGAGTCCCCTTTTCCGACCTACTAGTTTCCATATTTAAAGAAGTAAAATAAATCGAAATTGAATTTACCCATAGAAATTGCACTGTTGCCGTAGCAAAACCAATTAATTCAAAATAAAGTTTATTACAGTAATTGTTCAAAATGCCGTCCATTATTATTTACACACACTTGCAATCGTCTTTTCAAAGAACTTTGAACATTAGAAATTAGTCTTGGATTTTGTCCTAGTTCCTCGGCTACCGCATTAACTTTATTGGTTAATTGTTCAACACTATTAATAGGTTCATTATAAACCAGTTGTTTCATGTGACCCCACATGGATTTAAGTCCGGAGATCTCGGAGGCCACTTAGTAGGTCCATTTCTGCCTATCCACTTTTGAGGAAATCTAATGTTCAAAAACTGCCGTACGTTTAAATCAAAGTGAGGAGGAGCGCCATCTAGTAGGTACCACATCCGTTGCCTTAATTGTAACGGTATCTCTTCTAGGAGTACTGGCAAAATATCTTCTAAAAAGTGGAGATATCCTGGCCCATTTAATCTGTTCGGGAGAACATAAGGCCCGATTAAATACTGATCTATTATGCCAGCCCAAACATTTATTGAAAATTTTCTTTGATGCCCAGTTTCCCTAATGGCGTGAGGATTTTCATCACTCCAAATATGCGTATTGTGCATATTGAACACGCCATCACGAGTGAATGAAGCCTCGTCAGTATACAATAATATTTTTAGAAAATCAGGAATATCAACACATTTTTGAATCATCCATTCACAAAACTCCACTCTCTTTTCTTCATCACCTGGATATAAGGCCTGGACTTTTTGGATGTGATAAGGATGTAAACCTTGTTCTTTAAGTGTCCGCCACACAACAAATGAGGACACTCCAATTTCAAGACCTAGTCTTCTACAACTTAATTGAGGCCGGTTTTCAACAGCTTCCAATATTTCTTCTTCGGCCGCCAATGTTCTTTGTGTTCTTGTTCTCCCTCGATCTGCATTGACACTCTCAAATTTTCCATGGTCTCTTAGATGCTGAACAGTTGAAATAAACGTACGACAGTCCGGAATTCTCCGATTTGGAAACCGTTCGCGATACAGGATTTGTGCTTGCCGAGAATTTTCTCCAGCTGCCCCATAAACCAGCACTATATCCGTTAGTTCAATATTCGTAAATAGTGGCATCGTAAAAAAATATTTAAAAGTAATCGTAACAACACTTTTTACCAACTTGGAAATGACGCACGCGCTCGTGTTAGCCAGATTCGTAAATCAACTAAAATTTTAATAATCTATAGTTTCAAAAATGTATAGTTTAAAAACAACCATTTATCAAATATTCTAGTTTTTTGATAACGAGGGTAGTAAAAACCAGTCTTCGGAAATAGAAATTAATTCGAAAATCTTGGCAACATGGTTATTTCTTACAAGACTAGTTTTCTTATCATCTGACAAAAACTTGCATATTAATTACTGTTGATGTTTAAAATAGGTAAATAAACCTAATTTATATAGGTCATCCTCAACATATCAGTGAAGTACGTTTGTTTTAGAATTAATTTTCAAAAATTAATAACTCCCTTAATAAGGGGTATTTTTAAAAAATAATATTTTTCTACATTCAGTGGGGATCTGCGCAATACCCAGTTTTAATATGTACGTGTATTTCAATAACACCCTGTATACTGATTTGAAGTCAAACATCAAATTTATAATATGGCTCTGGTTATGACGGCACGTTCGTGCATGCGACTGCAACTTCAGATGGCTTCTTCTCTCGTGAAACCTATTCTACATTCATAACATTTAATTGATTCATGTTATATGATTATTTATTTTAACATTCTAACTTGATTTGAACCAAATTATTATTACTATTTGAATTAGATTATCAATATAATAATATGCTCGAAGTATTACATAAAATCACTTACCTTGACGCTTCTGATAGGTACGACTTTCAACTTGGAAGCGCTCGAATTGTCCACTTTTTTTGAAGCATCCAAAAGAGATTTGAGTTCTTTGGGATCCGTTGCAGACAACGAAGGCGAACTCGTCTTCAATTTTGGTTCGAGGCCCGCCAAATGAGGAGCATCACCGAACGGATCCGCCGTTAGTAAGGCGAGATTGGTCGCTAGTTGTTGATCTGTAGACGGAAACATCCTAAAAAAAATAACAAATTAAGATTACCTCCTCAAGAAAATTACGAGCAAAAATACTTACGATTGTTGTTGTTGCGGTTGAAGACTGAATCCTGTATTTGGTTGAAAACTGGTATTTGTGTTGTTGAAAAGGCCCGTTACATTTGTATTGGTAAACAGCCCACCAGGTTTGGGGGCGTTATTTCCAAACAGCGAATTATTTTGGGGTTGTAAGGCTAAAAAGTAATAATAATATTTAAACATAGTATAAGAAGTACGTTTAGGTACATCATATAAACACAAGATGTTTTTACGATATGGAATCGACCAATTAATCACTGAGCATACACGAATTACAAATAATAGTAAAACATTGATAGAATATGTATCGTTTAGTAATAATTTTGTTAATACTACAGTTCATCATACTCTGAAAATTAGTGACCATTCCATAATATCTTTTAATTTTAGTAATAACAACAAAGACATAAATATAATTCACGCAGACAAAGATATGGGCTTAGTATGCATCAATGCATTTCTCATATACATACTCTACTTAAATGCCCAAAGTTTACTTAACAAAATCGATGAAATTCAAATAAGTTTATTGTGTTACTCTCCTAAGATAATTTTTATAAGTAAAAGCAAGAATTACCAAGGAAATTGAAGAATCTGAAATTAAAATCGTTGGGTATAATCTGATCAGATTAACTCCTCTAACCGAAGCACAGGGGGGGTCATAATTTACGTGATTACACTGGGATTGGCATTTTGTCACAAAATATTTTTAGTTCCATGGGTAAGACAGATAATAAAGGCTATTGTTACTTATGAGATAGGGATAAATACTGGAATGTTTCCGAACTGGTGTATGTGACTGTTTGGAGGAAATGTATTTTGATTCTATTGTGTTGAAGCGAGAGAACAGTTGTTACTCAAGGGATAGATGTGTATAAGAATTTGTGAGCTTTGAATGCAGGTGTTTTCTTAAGACAGGCCCGGCCTGGGAATGCTATGTTTAAATTGAGAATAAAGTAGGCATTATAATTTCTTGTTATTGCTATTTATTTTTTACTGAATGTTAAAGTCCTATTAGAAATTGTCAAAAACTTATCCAGTTGATAATAAATTACAGTTGGTTAAATTATAATTACTGATTAAGAAACAGTCAATTTCCTGTTAACCAGTGACCAATTAAAATATTTTGTTATTAGTGAAAATAAATTAACTTTAAATAAACATTACATTATTTATCTAGTGTTTACATGATTGAAGTGATAACTTACTGCCGCCCAAAGCGTTGCCAAAAGCCGGCGTTTGCGTTGTACCAAAAGCTTGCGCTGTCGGTTTCCCAAAGGAGCTGGCGAAAGTGTTATTTCCGAAGGTATTGGTTTGTCCAAAGGCCGGCGCTGTTGTCGCTTGCCCAAATATAGGTTTAGCTGCATTACTAAATAGGCCGGTAGTTTGGATTGTAGTAGGCGTAGTAAAAGGGAAAGCTGTGGCTTGATTGGTTCCGAAATTGGTGGTGGGTTGTGCTGTTTTACCAAAAAGAGAACCAGCGGTATTCTAAAATAAAGTATAAAAAAGAACAGAGTCTTTGAGGTTTTCTTACTCAGATACTTAATAACAATTCTTAATCCGTTAGTTATTTTGCTCATACCTGTGTATTTGTTTGTCCAAATAGTCCTCCCCCTGTACCAAATGCTGTAGCTTGAGTTGTTGCAGTATTTGTTCCAAAAATAGATGGCGCAGTACTTCCAAACGCTTTCGGCTGTTGAGTTTGACCAAATGGATTATTTGTTTGGGCAGTGTTGCCAAATCCGAAATTAAGATTGGACTGACTTGTTGGTGTTCCAAATCCTAAAAAAAAAACACGAATTACGTTATTTTTTACACCAACTTATTTATTTTGCATTCTTTATAAAATCCTTTTGATGCGAATAGAGACATGTAAAGTATCGTACCAGTAGCTGGTTTTCCAAATAATCCAGCAGTTTGTTGCTGCTGATTGGCCATTCCGAATCCAGCATTTTGGCCGAAAGCTGGAGTCGCTTGTTGTCCGAAACCCGTAAAAGCAGACTTGGAGGCGTCGGTCGTCTGGCCAAAAAGAGACGGCGCCGATGATACTGTACCACCAAAAGGCGTAGCACCGAAACCGGTTTGTTGTTGAGGACCTGAAAATAACGCGTTTTGAGGTCCTAAAAATAATGAGGGTTAGTACAATTTGTTAGTAAAGGAGAATATAAGGTGTTAGTGTGGATTAGTATTATATCGAAAAAATGGGAAATTAAAGTAATATTATATTGATAGAAGAATATGGTAGTAGATAATGGACCGCGATGGTGTTATATCATTTTTTTGAAAGTAAGCAAAGTAATAGTAATAGTTGTCAAAACTTTAAATGTGGTTAGGTTTATGCTATGTTTATGTCATAAGGTAGAGAGATGCTATAAGTATCTTTTTCAAACATTCAAAACGGTATCACTTGGCGTGGATGTTGTCAACCCAGACTTTTCTGAATGAAACCCAAATCTACATTTTTTTTTTTTTTTTTAGAAAATGTAAGCAATATTTATTAATTGTTATGAAATGGATGATTAAGGTCATAAAAAATAATTTTTAGTAATTCCACTGAGAATTCCACTTATTGATAAAATAAGTTTCAATGAATAAAAAATGTGCAAGTGGTGGAAGATAGTACTTTATTATTAGAATAATAAAGTCTAGAAATTTTATTTAATATATCATGGTTTAACATAATTGTTATTTTAGACCGAAACTGATATAACATAGAAAAATCAAACAGTTGGTAGGTATTAATTGAAAATATATTATGGCAAAATAACAAATAATATAAAAATTATGTTTATATTGGCCATTAAAAAATACAATTTTATTGTTATGATGTCTTATGCTATAACATTTTTTTATTTGATTTTTAATGAGGTAAAACATCCTGTTTGTATATTTGTTAGATTATACAAGGGATGCTGATCAAAACTGTACAATTTGCAAATATATTTTAATTTATAAATGACTTGTAGCACTGAACACACTACACATTTTACTAAAATAAGGTGGATAATTAAAGTAACAGCTCCTTTTTATTATTTGTCTATATTAAAGACAAACGTCTAACATCCATAGAGCATAGAGAGATATACTATAGGCTTTTTATTTATTTTTTTTTGTCAATAAACGAAAATATTTGTCCCGATTTAGGCGAGACAGTCCCGATTTTAAACCACTAGTCCCGATTTAACATGTGTCCCGCTTTGGTCTAAAGAAAAAAATATAAATATTTCAATTTTTATGGTGACGTGACATTCCACTTTTTTATATATATTTTTTTGCTCTTAAATGAACCAAACCGTCACTACTGCCAAGAGAATTCGTAGAAATATATCCTTGTTTTCGATTTGTTCCGCTTTCTACTTTTCAAAATATGGTCACTGTAAATACGGAGTGACCCACAAGTCTGGAAACGGCCAATTATCTCGTAAATTGCTGATCCTAATTGTACAAAATTTGGGCTACACCTATTTTGGGATACAGAGATTCCAGATTTGATATTTGCAATGTTGCCAAATTTGCCGTTTCTCTTATATTATTAGTCACTTTGGTTTTTCAAATTTATCATCCTGTATATTCAGTTATTATTGGAATCTCCTTTTCAATACGAGTTCAACCATATGTAACACTTATGATTTTATGTAGTCTGGAAAGTCTTAAATAAATAAAACAATCATGAAGAAATGTGTTAGACGCATTCTACCATCGATTAGGGTACTCTGTCAACTCACAAATAGAGCACATTTTGAACACTTGATAAAGTAACCATTATTTTAAAAATGTTATAATCTTTCAATTGTTACGTTTTAATGTAGTTGAAAATAGTTTATTATACAGGGTGATGAATTTGAAAAACCAAAGTGACTAATAATTTAAGAGAAACGGCAAATCTGGCAACATTGCAAATATCAAATCTGGAATCACCGTATCCCAAAATAGGTGTACCCCATATTTTGTTTAATTAGGACCAGCATTTTACGAGAGAATTGGCCGTTTCCAGACTTTTGGGCCACTCTGTATATGTATAACAATATATTTTGTAAATCCCGATGGCGTGGGATTTAGTAAATAATTTGATCATGCTCAGTAACGTCTAGTACTATCGTAACTCTCTGAAAAGACAAGAGCTCTATAGTCTCTTGACGATTCGTTGATTTGACGAAGAGGACATTTTAAAATTCGATGCCTTTCGGACATTTTAAAATTCAAAGCCTTTCTAGAGGAATAAAATTTCCACGAAAACTTCAACATCTACCTACTAATAATTTTTGTAAGTTACGGACTTATTTTCAAACTTAAAAGTACTCATTTCTCTCAAGATTTTCATGTGAAATGTCATATGTCAACGTGAAAACAGTATTTTTAAAGCCAATGAGAATTCAAATTCTTGGGAGAATTTTAATCCTAACGAAACAAACCAAAAGAAACAGTCTGCTAGTTTTCACTGGCTTTAAAAATACTGTTTTTACGATGACGTGTGATAGTTCTCATGAAAATCTTGAGAGATATCACTTTCTCTTGAGTTTAAAAATAGCCCCCCAGAAATTGCTGGTCGGAGGAGTTATTGTTGTGGCCTCCATTTAAGCGAATACAATGGTCTTATGATATTTGGCATATTGGTAAAAACTGTAAATGTGGGTCGGTGTTGTATATTACGTGTTTTTAAGGCACTAATATACTTATCCATGTCATTTAAAAAAGTTTCTATGTCTTCATATTTTTGTTTAAGACAAATGCTTTTTATAATGAAACTGAAGTAAACTTCTAAAATTTAAGATAACAAAGAGAATATTTATGATTATTTTAAATCTAATTTTTGCACCAACTGCAGCAAATTCTCTCAATTTTAATTTATCTTTACAAAACCCTAATATGGTTACAACACTCTCACTCAAAGCACAATTAATATCTCAAATACGGCCCTGCACATTGTTTACTATACTTGTATTGTATAAATATACAACTAAATAGTTGTGGAATGTTATTTCAGATAATTTATTCATATAAATATCTATTAGGTTGTTAAAAATACGTTGACCACAAGCAACCAATGTTTAACTTTTAATATGTACAATATATTTAGTTTGCAAACGATATAAAAATAGAAAAAAACGCTGATTGAAACCACGATTAGCTGTTTGAAGGATTCGTCAATGCAATATGGCGGAAGTGAACCCGTCTTGGACCACTTGATAGCGTCTCTCTACCTTCTACCGCCATGGTTTATGTTAAATTTTTCTTAAATTATCACACAGTCCAGTGTTTGCCAGTTTTTTGATTCTATGTTTACGAGTTATTTACAATTGAAAAAATGCATAACAAATAACTCAAAAACTTAACGTTTTTACAAAAAAAAAAATCATAAGAAACAAATTAAAGCTTTTTAAAAAACAAAATGTGAAATTTTGTTGCAGGTGACTATTTGTTCTCCAAAAACAAAATTGGAACATTTCAACGTTAAATACTTGAAAGAATAAACTTATGATAACTCTTGAAAACACCTTTAAAATTAACTTCTTTTGAAATCGTTAGTATGAAAACTGACACGAGTTATCATGAAAACAAGCCGTCACGTTTTTCCAGAGAAAAATTTGGCAATGAAACCAATGGTTTATCCACAATAAATTAAAATATTTATTTAGGCAATAACAATATGTTATTTAATATATACCATTGATTTTTGTTTGTATTGACTTACCTTTTCTATTTGCAGCATAATCTTCAAATCTCAATTCTTCAAATGATTTATTCTCATATTCTTTCATGCAGGTAATGCTATGATGTTTTGTATTAATACTTGTGGCTACTCCGCTTTTCATCATTGTATCAGTGCCAGTAACTGGATTGAATTTGACAGTCCCAGTACCCGAAGATTGTTGCCCAAAAGCACCTGAAGCCCCGAATAAATTACTGGTCGTCGGCTGGAAGATACTGGCGGCTTGCTGTTGTTGGGGCTGCGCTTGTCCAAAAAGGTTTGGCTGGGCAGCTTGGGTACCAAATCCGAATCCGGTTGGTTTGTTCTGTTGTCCGAATGCAGTGGTTGTGTTGAACAATCCACCGGCGGCAGGTTGTTGCTGCTGTTGCTGTTGTTGTTGTCCAAAAAGATTTGAGGTACCTACAATACGTAATGGAATTCCAAATAAATTAAAGGAACCAGGTAAATAAACAGTTAAGAAATAATTTTTGTTCAAGACCTCCACAACATTGCCATTGAACCAAAATGAAACTGGAAGACTTCAGAATAGAGGAATGGGTAATATTATCTGGTGATAGAAGAACACATAACATTAATGTTAAATACATTAAAATGGTTATCTGTTAAAAATTACTTTCTTTATCTAACATTCATATTTATTTTTAAAATTGACAAACTAAAATATAATTTTGAATTTCATGAATACAATACAAGAAGCCGCACTAAATTTCATATACGTCAAGGTTGTAGTATCAATTCAAGTAACACAGTTTTCATTAAAGGAGTTCAAGCCTTTAACGAACTGCTGGAGGAAATTAAGAATGCTACTTTGCTTAATATATTTAAGAGGAAATTAAAAGGGTACATTTTAGAACAACAAAAGAAGTAGTGTAGGAACCTGCTAATACACTTTTAGTTCAATATCACAGCAATCTTTTGAGATAGAAAGATGAAGTTTGCGAAGTTGAATTTCTCTACAAGAGCCCTACAAAATGGTATAAATATTTTAATATCTCAAAATTTAGAAAATCGGTAAGTGATTCTCAAATTTTTTTAATTAGTTTGGAGGCACTACCGTTAGAGATAGATGCATACATATATGGAATCTACAAGACAGGTTCTATAAGATACCATTAAAATCAGATATATGTCAGATATTTAACGGTCATTTTGAGACACTTTCTGTAAAGATAGACAAAAAATAAACACATTTTTTTTTTAGAATGTATGCCTCAAAATCTATAAAATGCCATAAAAAGAACAAAAAGGCTCTAAAATGTCCATCAACATTTATGTTTAATCTATAATATAAAAATGAATCGCAAAATATGTTGGTACGCGCATAACTCAACAACGCCTGGATCAATTTTACCAATTCTTTTTTTTTAATGTTCGTTGAAGTCCAAGGATGGTTTTTACGGCGAGAAAAATTCGAATAATTTCCGGAAAACAGCCCTTTTCTTTTTCCCATCTATCTATCTATCTATATAAAAATGAATCCCTATTTCCCTTGGTCACGGCATCACGCGAACGGCTGGACCGATTTCGCTAATTCTTTTTATGTTGTGTTTATTATTGTCAGGAGAAGGTTATTATGAAAGAAAAAATTAAGAAAATTGCGCGGAAAATTAGAAAATTTAAGAATATATATAAAAATGAATCCCTTTTTCCCTTGGTCACAGCATCACGCGTGAACGACTGGACCGATTTCGCTAATTCTTTTTTTGTTGTGTTTGTTATTGTCAGGAGAAGGTTATTATGAAAAAAAAATTAAGAAAATTGCGCGGAAAATTATTTCTAATGTAACCATAGCGCTTCTACAATTCAATTTTTTTTTATGTAACCTTATGGCGTTTGAGATAACATTGACAGAATGCGTGCTGCAAATATCGTCAAAGATGAATATCGTTTAAAACAGATGTTTCGATCGGAGTTATTATATTGATAAAATACATATAAAATAATTAATTTATTATTTCTAACAAAAACTGAATTTCTTAGTGCACATCACCGTTAGTTCAAAGCTATCACGCCTAATATTAGAATAATAAACACTTTGTTTCTGAAATATTTTTTTATTTAATTATACCAATTCGAAATCAATATTCATAGTTAAGACAGGACAACGTCTGTCGGGTCCCCTAGTTAATATTAAAACTTAAAAATAATTTGCAACTAAAAAATTATGTATGCTGGCTATCTAGTAGATGTTGCTTTAATCTGGATTTAAAGGAATTGGTGGATAGTATGTTTTTTAACTCTAAGGGTAATGTGTTATACAAACGTACCGGATTAAAAATGAAATTATGTGTAAAAATAGCAGTATGATGAATAGGCATTGATAATGTTTTAGTGTCTCTTATGTTAACTCTATATTGAAATTTATCACTAAGGTAGGTAGACAATGAATCTTTGATTATTCTTATGCATCATACTTAACAATAAATATTGATAAACATTATGAACCTTCAGCCAATGTGTTCTTGCAAAAACAAAGAAATATGGTCTTATTTTCATAAATTATTGATAAATCTACAAGTATTCTTCATGATTCGAAGCCTGTTTTTATTCAATGCTGTTAAGCAAGGGTAATAAATTTGTATTCCATACACTATTATAGACATAACGAGACTTTGAAATATATTAGCTCAGGTTTTCTTATTTAATAGAATATGTTTATTTAAATAGAGCACCATAACTAGCTTTTAGTAGATGATTCACGTGATCTTAAATTTTCATGGAAAATTAACCCCAGATTTTTGGAATACTCAACTATAGGTATTGGTTCATCACATATTTTTAAAAGTGTATTTTGTTCAATAAATTCTTTAGAAACTTGATTGCAATAAATAATACATTTTGATTTGGATGGATTTATGTGTAGGTTATGATTAATGGAAAAATAAATAATTAGGCTCAAATCATGATTGATCTGATTCACAGAATGGTTGAATATTTGCATGTCGTCAGCGAAAAATTGTGCAGTACAGTTTTGGATGACTTTATTCAAGTCGGAAGTGTATAATAGAAATAGCAGGGGTCCTAAAACTCAGCCCTGTGGAACTATTGATTTTACGACCGAGGGTGTTGAAAACTGATTACCCACCATTGTGGTTTAAGAACGGTTAGCCAAATATGTTTTGATAAAATTTAATGATGTGGAATTGAAACCATAAAAAGAAAATTTTAAAATCAGCAGGTGATGGTTTAAGGTGTTGAATGCCTTACTAAAATCTAACAGAACAAGAATTCCTACTTTTTTATTATTTACTCTTATATTCGTTAAAATGTTATCTATCAAATTGGCCAGAGCAGTTGTTGTGCTGAATCCTTTTTGAAAGCCGGACTGAAGTAATGGAATTATTTTGTTTTTAATACACTTGTACATAGGCGGCTCGTTCTAGAATTTTAGACAATGAGGGAAAAAGACTTATTGGCCTTGGATCGCTAAATGATTCGGGATTGTTTTTCTTGGGTAGTGGTATAACTAATGCTGATCTTCACTGTTGAGGAAAATATCCCTCTAAGAGACACATGTTATATTTTTTTTTGTATTTTTTATTTATTTATTCAATTAGGTACACTACAGAATTATTATTCTAAATGGTACACAGAGTTAAAAAAAATTGACAATAAATACATGTATGTAGAATATCACATTCACAAAATCACATACATAGAAATAGGTTTAAATATTAAAGCTCAAAATAAATATGAAAGTTTCAAATTACTCTTTAGCGCACACAACGGTGTGTTGAATAGGTCACAGTCGGAGTAAAGCTTATTGTAAATGTGGCACATACGGTCAATAAATGCTCTTTGTCCATAGTTGGTTCTATGTCTTCTGATGAAAAACAATAAAGTATGACGTATACATCAAGTAGGTGCCAAAAAGGTAATTAATTGTAAAAGGGCGCTACAGTCAATCTTACCGTTAATTAATTTAAACAGAAACAGAACTAGTGCATGTCTTCTTCTGATTTCTAGGCTTTGCATACCACATAAAAGCAGTCAACTTTCGTAACCAACGTTTTGGTAGGGAAAGTGGTGTTTGAACAGCAAATAGTTAGTGAATTTACGCTGAACTCGTTCTATCCTCTCTATGTGGCAGGTGTAATTAGGATGCCATACGACAGAGCAATATTCAAGAATGCTTCTAACAAGGCTGTTAAATAATGTTAAGATTGCTTTAGTATCATACATATGTTGAGTATTTCTTTTAATAAAGCCTAGCATCCGGAAAGATTTACAGATAATGGAATCAATATGTTCTCGAAAGGACAATTCCATATCAAATACCCCTAGATCATTCACAGATGTGACATTTTGCAGTACAGTATTACCGATTTTGTATTGATTTAGAGAAGGGCTTAACGCTCTAGTGAACTGGATGGTTTTGCATTTACTTGTATTTAATGAGAGATGGTTCACCTTGCAACACTCGTTTAGTCTCTCTAGATCACCTTGAAGGGCAGTAGTGTTATGTGTGACTGTACTGAAAAATTTCAAGTCATCTGCATATATAAGACAAGTACTATTTAAAAAGCAGGAAGTTATGTCATTAATAAAAAGTGAAAGACAGGACCAAGGTGTAAGCCATCACCAGCGTTTGATTTAATATTACAAAAGATTGTATACAAGGTAGCTTTATTAATTGTTTTAAAATTGAAATTGACATTAGAACTGAATTTATTTGTACAATACTTAAATATTGATTCCCAACAACAGATATCGCTTTCTTGGTATAAAGAAGTGAAATTATCATTAATTGTATAAGGATTTGATAATGAAGATGGAATACTTACATTTTTTGAGCTCTGAATTTTCATGGATTGTTTTAAAAAATGATTTTGATTACTTAGATATTGTATATAAGCTGCTTTTTTCCTTCTTAATGACAATAGTGCAAAATTCCTCAACTTATACCTTTGCAATTTCTCATTAGTTTTATCTATTTTATATTTGCATAAATTAAAATCGATAGAAACATACTTTGAGGTACCTAAGCAATGAATGTGAGGTTCTAAATGATGTGATGTCATAAATCGACATTTGGCAATAGCACACTTCACACAAACAAATTTGATAAACTATATCCTGTTTGATAGTACAATACTTGATGCAAGTATAGGAGCTTCCAGGTTGTCTTTATTGAAAATCAGATATATAATGTCAAATGTTTAACAGCCATTATAAGACACTTTCTGTAAAGATAGACCAAAAAATAAACAAAATCTATAAGATTGTGACGAAGTCACTAAATTTCGCTCTCGCTCGTAGGTTAAAATATTAATATATTTGCCGAAATCCGAATGGGCATTTTGTAGAGTTGATTTCGTACCAATTAACTATCTTTATTTGTCAAGGTACTAGAAGGACATTTTTTTTTTGTTTTTAAATTGTAAACAGTCGGCTGTAGTAGTGGTATCCCCCACTCGCGCTTACCGAAAAGTATAAATTCGATCACATCTGGGAATTACTCTCTCTTGATTGCCGACAACCGAAAACTATTCGACCTTCTGCAGTGTCGAGTGAAATACTCTGTGAGTGCCGTGATTTTGAAAGATTATTGAATAACCCCGTTTATTTTCTAAGGTAGGAAACTGCATATTATTTTTTATTGACTTTTTATATAATTAGTTGGGACACCCGTGCGACAAGTGAAAAATTTTGATTCATATCCAGGATATTTCATTTCATCCCTCAGTGGGAAACCGTTGGCAATTTTTATTTGAGGCTGGACATAGGCTAGACTCTGAGTGCTCTCATTGTCAACGACTATATCCAATCTCTCTTAGAAACCGCCCAGTTAACATTGAAGTGAGAGGTTCAATTTTTTTTATTATTTTATTTTCTTTTTCGGAGATTCGATCCGTCCCCGGGTTAAGAGTGATCTGTGTCCTGACGACGTTATTTAATTTTCCAAAAAGACGTCTAAATTAATTTTCTCGCCTCACTTCATGTAAATTTCTCTTTTATTTTTTTTTTTTTCATTCAGCTGTATTTGAATCATTCCGTTCCCCGTCCACAATTAATTATTGAACGAAGCCAGACGATTTCTGTAAAATTAATTCACACACCGTCTCGATCGACTCTGGGCAAATCTTAAAATATTATTTTCTACCATCGTCGCCTACGCTGTCCAAACACCGCGTAAATTCCCATCATTCTCACTCGACGAAAATTGCCGCGGCCCATCGCTCGAGGATAAGATACAAGGGGGTTCTGAAAACTTTGTTTCATTATATAGTAGGTTTTCCTTTTCTGAACGTACATTGTAAGTGGGTTAATGGTGGTAATAGCAAACTTTATTTTCCGTATACAGGGAGTGTCGTAACTACCCGTTTTCTTTCATTTTTTATGAACTTCCCAGTTGGTAACCGTTTGTTAAAAAATTAATTACTCTATTTTAATTAATTACTTTTTTTTTTCGTTTTACTATTTTGACCAGAATATTTAATTTAATTTCGTGATTTGGAAAAACATACCTTCCATATACCGGGTGTACATAATTTCCGATTTAAATAGTTTTTGATTATAATAATTTATTTTTAATAAATTTTCCAAATGCAGGGATCCATTAAGATTTAATTAGTTTTCAATTGTAGTAATTTATTTTAATAAATTTTCCGTATACAGGGAGTTTCATAATTCCCAGACCACTTAGCCTCCTGCGCTAATGAACCATAAACATTTCACTATATTTAAATAGTTTTCAATTGTAGTAATTTATTTTAATAAATTTTCCATATACAGGGAGTTTTATAATTCCCAGACCGCATAGCCTCCTGCGCTAATGAACCATAAACATTTCCCTATATTTAAATAGTTTTCAATTGTAATAATTTATTTTAATACATTTTTCGTATACAGGGAGTTTCATAATTCCCAGACCCTTAGCCTCCGCGCTAATGAACCACAAACATTTCCCTATATTTAAATAGTTTTCAAGCGTAATAATTTATTTTTAATAAATTTTCCGAATACAGGGATCCATCAATATTTAAATAGTTTTCGATTGTAATAATTTATTTTTAATAAATTTTCTGAATACAGGGATCCATCAATATTTAAATTGTTTTCAAGTGTATTCATTTATTTTCAATAAACGTATTCAGGGAGTTTCATAATTCCCGGACCGCTTGGCCTCCTGTGCTAGCGAACCGTAATTATTTCTCAATATTTAAATTGTTTTCAAGTGTATTAATTTATTTTTAATAAATTTTCCGTATACAGGGAGTTTCATAATTCTCGGACCGCTTGGCCTCCTGTGCTAGCGAACCGTAATTATTTCTCAATATTTAAATTGTTTTCAAGTGTATTAATTTATTTTTAATGAATTTTCCGTATACAGGGAGTTTCATGATTCCCGGACCGCTTGGCCTCCTGTGCTTGCGAACCGTAAATATTCCTCAATATTTAAATAGTTTTCAAGTGTAACAGTTTATTTTTAATAAATTTTCCGAATATAGGGAGCCAGCCAGTAAGATTTGACTAGTTTTCAAATATAATTTATTTTTAGTAAATCTTCTGGATACCGGGAACCGTTAGTATTTAACTAGCTGCAATTGGAGTAATTTACTTTTAATTATTTTTTTCTTCTTCTGTATATAGGGATCCGTAATTAATTTCTTGTAATCTCGTTTAATTGTAATTATTCATTTTATTTAATTTTCTGTTTACCGCCGTGCCGTGTAAACATATATTCCATTACCTATTCCTGTGTTTTTCTTATTGCTGGTTCTTAACCATTCTCTTTCAGGGTACCGTAGGGTACGAGGTGTAAAGGAGATAAGTGTTTTATTTTTATTTATTCTAGTATAGTGGCTACCTATCAGTGACCACCTGGAATTATTTTTACCTCTACTGAGTTTAAGTGCACTCTGGTGTACTACAGGGTCGCAGAGCAAACTGCGATACCAAAACTGGCGCTTGAGCAACCCCTATTCGGGAATCACCATCATAGCGCCACACAGACTCGTTGATTCACAGTAGGTGAACCAAAGCCTGTCACAAGATGCCATAAAAAAATATTTAGACACCAATTTGGGTTAATATATCATACTCTAAAATGCCTAAGTCCAACAACCTTTATTTTTAATTGAAATAGATAGTACCTAAGCAATGAATGTGAAGCTCTGCAGTGATGTCACAAATCGACAGTTGGCAATACCACATTTCAAATACAAATTTGATAAACTAGGTATATCCTGTTTAATAGTATAATACTTGATGCAAGTATGGGAGGTTACAGGTTGTCTTAATTAAATGAAGGCCTAAACATGAGCATCCTATGAAACATTATGGGCCATTCGCAGGGCTAGTAGTTAAGAAATAAACGAAGCTTAAAATTACATTGTTAATAAAAATATATCAATTTAAGCTTAGCTTATTTCTTAACTACCAGTGGTGCAAATATATGGTTTAAATTCAGTGCCTTTCATAAACTCTTCAACAAAAACCAGTTTAGAAATAAAAGAAATATGTTGGCTTACAATATTTGAATAAACAAACATGAACATTTTTTTATTTCATATAAATTCCAGATTCTGAGCAAAACATTTTTTGATAATATATGGCAATGTTTTTAGGAACCTGACTTAATGAAAGGATTATAATCATTAAATATTAGTCATGATCTAATTTAAAAACAATCGAAGTTATTTTGTTTTTTTTTTGATTTGATTTGTTGTGGCATTTACAATAAGATTCTCAAAAATAATGTATGTATACCAGCACAAATAACAGTTGATTTATTGTTAAAAGATATACCTACATCCTGATAGGGATGTTATGATGAATTTTAAAGAGTTGATATGTTTATAAAAATGTTTTGAATCACATCTACTATGAGTCAATATCAGAAATATCTATAATTGTTGTAAGTGCTTTTATTAAAAGTAATCAATCCAAATTAAGAAATAAAAAAACTTCTGAATTTCCATATTTCTTCAAAATATTGTTTTTCATTCTTTATCATGAGTATTATCTTAAAGTTTTTATTAATAAATGTGTTTACTTCTACTTTATGGCTCTTTTTCAATGTATTGCAGGTGTCCATTAAATGTATATATCATTTTTTTTTGTAGTTTGATGGTTCATCAATGAAAGTTATACACATTTTTTATTAAGTAGGTAAAGTTATTGATAGAAAGATAATACTGATGACCCAAAAAAAAGCAATTAAACTGGTATTTAACAATAATTTTCCTAAAATTTCATTCAATTAAGAGCTAATACAAATTTAATTTTTCAAATTGCACTTGTGACCTGCAATACATTCAACTGGAAATAGCAAAATAAATAAATCACTCACCAAACCCTGACTGGGTGGATACAGGGTGAGTACCAAATCCGGCATTAGCATTTTGAAATAAACTAGTAGTTTGAGGTTGTGTTGCTGGAAACAGAGTGTTTGTTGGCTGGCCAAAGGCAGAAGTAGATGGGCTTCCAAAAGCACCTGCAGGTTTTCCAAAAAGTTGATTTTGACCAAATGGATTTGTCGTGTTAGCGGCAGATGTACCAAAGCCTGCAAAATTCATTTATGCGTTTTTAAGAAAGGTAGCAGGTAATTATAAGCTGGTCTTCCATACATATTATAAAGGTTTTAGTGTTAAACAAATAATGAAAATTTTGATTATTTTAAATGAAGTTGTGAAATTGAAAACTTACCAAAAGAAGTGTTTGTTGCAGCGGCTCCGAAAGCTGGTTTATTGAGGTTTCCAAACATCGCAGTTTCTGAATATAGGTTAAAAATAAATCCTTTTTAAAGATGAAAGCTGATCATTAAAATGGCAAATACGATTGCCCTATTAGGTTTTTAGCAATAAAATCTCAACAATCAAATCAACGGCTATTTTTTTAACGAAAATAGTACTTGTTTTTATTTCACAACAAAGCACAAGCACACATCATATGTCACATTTGACATTGACAGATGAGTGACAGTGATTTATAAACGACAAATGACGTAAATGGAGCTAACCAGAGTCGTTTTCCAGTGTGAAATATTTTCGAACCATTATTTTAAACTTAATTCAAAATGACGTCACTAAACAGAACGCTGGAAATCGTAAGGTTCGAACCTATGACCCCAGTATAAAGAACAATTGGTATATATACTGGGCTATGACGTAAAAATTGTTTTGTTTTGTGTATTGTGTTGAAGTTGAAATGGATTTGATAACATTAATGATAATTGACAAGGGAAATGAGTTAACACAACAGATTAGTACTATTAAAAATTTTGTTATTAATAGTGATGATATTGAAAGTTTGTTTAATTTGAAACAACATTTGCCGCGTTTGAGAATCCACATCGGATGCATCTGAGATGTAAAAAATCTTTGATCACGTGATTCAGTATACGTAAATGTAATGGGACAGATGTGTCCGATGTGGATAAAAAAACGCTCGAGATGTAAAAAATGCATCCGATGTGGATTCTCAAACGCAGCACTTAATACTCCTCATGTTAGGATACCGGATTATTATGAACAGTGGCTGCAGAACTATTTGAATACCGATTTTTATTCTTTATTTAGAAAAAAGAAAATCAAAGTATGTGATTTAGAATGAATAGAGATACATTTTACAGACTACTTCGGATCTCTCAGTCCAGTGTTCTAGTTTCGTATCCAATCCGTGATTGTTGTAAATAGTCAAAATGTGTTGCTTGGGAGTGTGGATCGACTCGGACTGTTTTCACCGCGCTTGTGTTTTTTAAGTGTTATGAATATTGTATTGGCTTTTTAGACCATACGGAACGTATGCAATCCCAAATGCCCAAATTGTTTATTTATATGTGGACGAATGTCTCTTGTTCTTGTTTTATTTGTAAATTAAAGCAATTTTAGAATTATTAATTTTTTTAATATTATTCTGTTTTTATTTATTTCATTGAAATGTGATGATAATGATAAACATATACATGCAAATGTTATTTGAAGTTGAGCTTTCAAAAGGAACTTCATTATTATAATAAACAATAAACAAAACACCTTTACGTGTTCTGGTTTTCCAACAATTTCAAAGAGTCGGGGATTTTTTGCCTTTACGCTTACGGTCCCGCACAGTTTCAAAACAGTTTTCATTTTGAGAACCAGAACAAACCTTTTAATAGAAATTACCGCACAAGTACGGTAATTACCGTACGATTGTCAACCCTGTCTCCATGCTGCGTCTAGCTAAAGCACGGTTCAATTTTCAAGAACCTAATTTAAACCCGGTTCTTAATGACGTCACCGTTTCAACGCTGGAAAACGTTCAGTTCCAAACATACGAAAAATTTTCAAACCAGAATACCGCTGGAAAACACCTCAGGATTTTTTGAGCTATATCAAGCTAGCGGGCACTCTGTGGCGGCACTAATTATCCTTCCTCCATGGGCGGCACCATACAAGACCGGGTGGGTTTTTTGTAGCTTTTTTGTTACGCTATTTGCGAATTTGTAGCTTTGCCCAGGTCCGAAAAAACAGCGGATCCGCTAGCTTGAATTTCCATAAATTCCATAGTAGCGGCACAGATTCAGACCCAGCTGGTTTTTCGTAACTTTTTTGTAGCTTTTTTGTTACGCTAGTCTCCCTTTTGTAGCTTGTACTGAACCTGAGAAAAGCGCGGATCCGCTAGCTTAGCGGATATTTGTAGCGGCACCAGCCCGGACCCGGCTCATTTTTTGTAGCTTTTTTGTTACGCCTGTCTCGATTTCGTTGCGAGGCCTGAACGTGAGTAATAATCGTTTCTCCATGAGCGTGAGAGAAAAGTGCGTTAATTTAAAATCAAGTTTCGGCATCTACAAGTAATATGTGTTTCTCGATAGTGTGACTATCTGTTGCTAGATGGCACCAGTATTGCATTTCACGAATTATGGCCATCTTCCATCCAATATATTTTTGAGAAATTTAGATATAATCTCAAAATCGGACATTTTCATCGGTATGTATATTAATTATTTGTCCGATATTAATGTAAAATACATATTGACAAGATTATTAAAATAGTTGTATGCCGGACGCCACTATTTTCTCGATCGGGTGTTTTCGGTTATTTTACTGCTAACTTCACACCGGTGGTAATAGCTACCAAGCAATTACCTATTCTCACTATAATATACAGGGTGTTCCATCTCAGACGAGCCACCCCGTATAGTTCTTATCCCATAGTAATTGGAAAAATTTCCCGAAACACGTCTGATGATTTTCTTTGGGGGACATCTTCTGACGTACTTATATTTGAGGCTTATTGAACGAGCAACCCCCTATATAAGGGGGCGCTTCAACCACTCAAAATTGAATAGGGAAGAGGGGTTGGGTGATACTTTATTTGTAAGGTCCTGAAAGCCTCTTTACAACGGTGTATAAAAAAAAATCACATTCTTAAAAAAATCAATTGTTTTATCATGCTTACAATCAAAAAAAAATCAAAACTGCGTTTTTAAATGAAATGTTCAATTTGTCTTCTATTGACTTGCAATAATAAATTCTCTCGAACTATATAATAAATAAAAAAAAATCAAAACATTTTCTTATCTTGCCTTCATTTTTTGCTCTTAGAAGGTGTTTAATCACGTTTCTTCGATCATTTGATGTGATAAAACAATTGATTTTTTTTAAGAATGTGATTTTTTTCATACGCCGTTGTAAAAAGGCTTTGAAGACCTTACAAATGATGTATCACTCAACCCTTCTTCCCTATTCCATTTTGAGGGGTTGAAGCGCCCCCTTACAGGGGGTTGCTGGTTCAAGCCTCAAATATACATCAAAAGATGTCCCCCAAAGAAAATCATCCGATGTGTTTCGGGAAATTTTTCCAATTACTATACGTGTGTCTTTTTTTCCACCGGTTTGTTGCAACCGTTGTTTCACCGATGCGGCCTTGAACGTTTTGTGTTGGATTCTGGTTGACCGTTGAAATAAATAACAGTTGACATACCGCACCGATGCCATAACGTTGCTGCAACAGTTGGATAAAAAGACACACGTTATGGGATAAGAAATATACGGGGTGGCTCGTCTGAGATGGAACACACTGTATAGTTGTGATCCGACAGAATTAAACACTGGTCCATAAATACTGCAAAACGATTGGTTAAGGAAATCATTCAAAAAAGATGTTAGAATATTCTTGATTCAACAAAAGTATAAATGCAATACTGGTGCCATCTATCAACAGATAGTCACACTATCGAGTTGCACATATTACTTGTAGATGCCGAAACTTGATTTTAAATTAACGCACTTTTCTACACGCTCATGGAGAAACGATATTATTACTCACGTTCAGGCCTCGCAACGAAATGGAGACAGGCGTAACAAAAAAGCTACAAAAAAAGTTACAAAAAATGAGCCTGGTCCGAGCTGGTGCCGCTACAAATATCCGCTAAGCTAGCGGATCCGCGCTTTTCTCAGGTTCAGTACAAGCTATAAAAGGGAGACTAGCGTAACAAAAAAGCTACAAAAAAGTTACGAAAAATCAGCTGGGTCTGATTCTGTGCCGCAACTATGGAATTTATGGAAATTCAAGCTAGCGGATCCGCTGTTTTTTCGGACCTGGGCAAAGCTACAAATTCGCAAATAGCGTAACAAAAAAGCTACAAAAAACCAACCAGGTCTTGTATGGTGCCGCCCAGAGATAAGACATAGCTGTCTTCTCTCTGGTGCCGCCACAGAGTGCCCGCTAGCTTGATATAGCCGATTTTTTAACAGTGGTTTCCAGGGGATGGTAACCAATGACATATATAGATTAATAGACTGCTCATCCATATATAAACAAGACGACGAAAAGCGGGTCATATTGCTTGGTTTGCCAAGTGCTCACCAGGCAGAATCGGTCTGGCCCAAATGAGTTTAAAACTCATATTTCATCAAAGTAGGAATTGAATTAAAAAAAAAATTATCTGTATGTTTATTTCAAGACAGGAGCTTACGTTAGATATTTTAAAAAAGGATTTTGAGTCATAACGTCTAGTTTCCCAATTTTCAAAACATTTTAAGAGATCTAACCAATTTTGAAGATAGATATAAACAATTTTACACTCATGTGTATATAATTAACTTTAGATTACGACCACTGTATAGTGGCACTATTCGGACACTTGATTATTCTTTTAAAATTTATTTCGCATTATAAAAGCAGATATTATGCAAAAATTGAATGAACTTTTTAAAGATTTTACTAAAAGTTAGTAGCTTTTTCACATTCTAAAATTTGTTCCCTTTAGACAATTAAGGATTATTTTGGCGGTGAATGTGAATGATTTGATGAATAATAATAAGATTCAACCAGTGGAAATCTAATCAACATCATAGTAAAATGAACTAGGTACAAAGTGCAATCTTAGTTGACGTCAAGATCCGTTTAGCATCGGTAAGGGGGAAAGAAAGATTCTGACTTACAATCACAAAAAGAACGTACAACTAAGCTTAGTCGATGTAAGTTAGCTCAGATTAGTGGTAAAAAGAAAGCGACTATTAATAAAAAGAAAAGCAATCCAGCTAAAACAAGAATTATAGCTACTGTCTTTAAATAATGATATGTTGCCAGTACTAGTAGAAAGTGTTGAGTTATCTTCTTCAGGCAATGGATGTACGTATGCATAATTTAAAATATTTGGTTAATTATTATTATGTTTAATGTGTTTTTGCAGTTAATGAACATATATCTACTACTGAAGCAGATAATGAAGATTTGTGTGCTGCTGAAGAGCTTTGCTTAATTTACAAAACTTCGTTTAAAAGCAGAAAATTGGGATCGATTGATCAACACAAGTGAAGAGTGGTGATTTAGTTGATACGTTTTCAAACAGAATTGTCAGTGCTAAAGAACTATCTACTTTAATAGGATTGCAATCCTTCCAGTTATTAGCCACCATTGTGGAATTCGTTGTTTCTAAAGAATAGGAAAAAGGAGAGCAGTTATGTCTGTAAAGGATCAAGTTATATTTACTTTTATGAAGTTGAAAACTGATATGCAAGATATAATGTCTTATCCATTTTATTTGGAGTGAATGAAACTTTTTATCATTAAATTTTTTAACATTTTTTAATAAAACTGGTAGAAGTTCTTAGTATGGTATAATTCGGCCTTCAAAACAAGAAATATTGAAATATGTGCCTCTATGTAAGTAAGAGTACTACTTGATTGTACCGAAATCCCAATACAGCAAGCCAAATGTCTTTGTTGTAGGCTAAAAAATTACTCTGACTACAAAAAGAGGCATACTATTAAAATATTGACTGGAGTGTCACCTACTGGTCTCATTACTTACAAAAGTGAAGCATATGGTGGTAGAACTTCAGAAATAAACATTTTTTAACAAAGTTCAATACTTGAAGTGTGTGAATCATTTCTCGATAGTAAAATGTTTAACAAAGGTTTTCTTATTGGAAACATAACAGAAGCTGAAGGTATACAAATTATACAGCCTCCTTTCCTCAATAAAAAAAAATTAGTTCTGCCATCAAGAGGCTTTACTTAATGCCAAAATTGCCAGAGCTAGAATTCACATAGAAAGAACCTATCAAATAATAAAAGTGTTTCTGTATTGGTACTTATGTCCGTTTTTCTTCTATTTATATTGAGTTTTATTATACGATACTCCTCTGTATCTAAATTTACTTGTAAAGCCCAGATAGCTCTAACTCGGGCCTTTGAATATAATAATATTTATGTAATTGTATTTACAATAAATACTTTATTATTAATATTATTGTTATTATTATAATTAATTATAATTCATAAAATTATTATAAACGTATTTACCATGTACATACTTGTATTGATACTTGCGTGAAAAATGAAATGTTACTTTTTATATTTATGTAGCTGGTCTTACAACCCTTTATAGAGCAATTCACCATTTAAATTTAAAAACAAAACAAGTTTTTATACTCAAATAATAAAAAAATAATTAAAAACAGAACATAAGTATAATTAAAACTAAATAAAATAAACAATTCAACAAAATGTCCGACTGAGTAATGACAATGAGAACAAAATCTCAACTAGACTAAACTTTCTTTAAAACCGGTCCTGTGAAAGGTTTGTTTACCAGTGAGCACTCAAAATTGAGACAAAACACAAACATTGCATGCACTAGACAAAGAGAAAACATCTCCCAGTTCGACCCGCTTTTCATCGTTTTATTTACGTATGGATAAGCAGTCTATTTAAACTATATATGTCATTGATGGTAACTCAAATGGAAAAACATGATGGTAATTTAGTACCACTCCAATTAACGGGATGGCGCTCGTATCGAAATGTCATGTTAGTTGTCAGCTTGTCAACAAAACTTCAAACTCAAAATTAAAATGGCTGTTGCATTTGAAGGTGTATTGGATTTTGATTCATCTAGATTTATTTTTCAACACCTTCCAATTTTAAGCATGTTATCATGACATGGGAACATGGATTTCAGCACCGAACAATAAAGCATTCCCAGATATTGGTGGTGATGCAATTTATATTTATACCATAATTAAATATGAGGTCATCATATCAGGGGTAGTCACGAATATAGATTCGCATGCGAGATTTATGATTTGTCTCACTTGGTTTTCGTTCAACAAAGTGAGACACATTGTAAAACACGTATGCGAATGTCGGTATTCGTGATTCGAGAATACTACCCCATCTCTTCATATCTATGGACACATTTTAGTCCGATTAGTGACAGTTTAATATGACAGGTCGTTGGAATATCTGTATGTTCTGTGACCTGTATGTTCTGTGATCTGTATGTTCTGTGATCTGTATGTTCTGTGATCTGTATTATTTGTGGTTGGAATGCCGAAAAGTGTTCTGTGATGCCGAATATGATAGAAAATCATCCAGATTCCAAAGAAACCAACAAAATACTTAGAGACATACAAAATGGGAATATTACTTACATTGATGAAGTCTTTAAAAAATATCCTGATCTTCACTGGAGTGCAATACATTATCATATAACGGGGGATACCATACTTCACATTGCTGCCAGATTGGGACACATAAATATAATACATTTTTTAATGAATAGATTTCAATGCAAGGATGTAGATTGTAAAAATAAAGATGATAAGACTGCCTTACATGAAGCTGCACAATTTGGTCAACTGGAAGCTTGTAGAACACTTTTAACATATGGTGCAAATGTTAATGCTATAAAAAGAGCTGATTGGACTCCTCTCATGTTATCATGTACAAAAACTAGTGGAGGTGAAAACTATGACATAGTAAAATTATTTTTAAATCATAATGCTTCAGTTAATTATAAAAATAAAGATGGTTGGACTAGCTTACATCTAATTTGTAGAGAAGGTGATCCAGCTATTCTAAATCTACTCATAAACTCTGGTTTAGATCTGAAAATCAAAACAAAAAATGGTAGAACGGGTTTACATGTGGCTGCTTTACACGGTCATTTGAAAATTGTTGAAATGTTACTTAAATTAGGACTGCAGGTAAATGAAAGGGACAATTGTGGCAATACATCTTTGCATGAAGCCGTTTTAAGTGGAAATATAGATATTTGTAAAGTTTTAATATGTAATGGGGCTGATATAAACCTTAGGAATAATAGCGACTATGGACTACTTCATCTTGCATCTTCTCAAGAGCATTCCACAGTTGTTATTGAATTCCTTTTATCTGATTTGAATTGGAATGTTAATGAAAGTAATATGAGTGGTTTAACAGCTTTACATTGTGCTGCCAGAAAAGGCAGTAGAGATATTTACAAATTTTTAGTTGATAAGGGAGCGGATGAACATATTTTGGATAATTTCAATAGGAAACCTTACGATTACTTTCCAAGTTAAGTTTTCGTGATTTTTTGCCCATTTATGTTTGTATACCTGCCATAAATTTGTATTTATAATAAATTAACTTGATATTTCAAAAAATTAGATTAGGTGATGTTTCTCTTAATTTAGTTGTTATTTCAGGTCTTTGTGACTACATATCAAGGTATACTGGGCTTTTGAGCACACAATTGAAATATTTATTAATTTGTTATTTATTTATTTATTGGACAATGTATGGGAAATCCCCATTACAATAAAAAAAATATATAAAAACTAAAATATAACACCAACATTTAAGTTAGTCAAATGACAAATATTAAGAAATATTTTTAAAAGATATTGAAAGATATCCAAGAATTTACACTTCTTTTAAGGGTGGCTCCATGGAGAGGATCATGTGTCCCATAACCCCTGAGATTAAAATTCTTACAATCTATGAGTCTTTTATTAAAAAAAATATGCCAAAAAGGGAATAGTTAATTCTATGGCACCTTCTGAAAATTCTGCCTGGAGGCATTCTTGTTAGAGGACTAAATAAGCCATAATTAGTTTTTGGAATGAATAAATCCTTTTGATGAGTACCTATATCTTAGCGTTACTCCAAATTAAATGGAATCTAAAAGTTTGTAACAATCAATAATCCTAAAATTACTTTATGCAAAAATAAAAAACAATGGTAATGAATAATAATTTATTATTTCAAACAGTAGCTGATTTTACAGTAAATTGCCTTGTTTTCCTTTTTAATATCTTAACAAAATGTAAAACAGTCAAATGCTAGAATCCAGGGCTGCATTTACATTTACACTTTTGGATCCGTAGGAGCAAATCATGAGATTTTTTATATAATTGTTGAGAAAAGAGGGCTCAACTTGTGCCTAATGGTAAATGCAACCCTGCTAGAAATTTCTTTTTGTAAATATTTTTTCTTTTGAAATAGCTGCATTTTTCTTTTTGTAGCTGTTGTAGCTCGTGCAGCCGTTTTTCTTTTCTTAAAACACCCAACTCGAATAGAGCATTCCAAGAATCATTATTCCTCTCCATAGCCGCCATTTTTCCAATCGTTTTCCTTAAAATGCCCAACTTAATTTCCTTATTTCATAAAAAATTGAGAAATCAAATTAATTACTCCTAGAATCATGATTCCCACATGCATCAGTATGCTTGGGACTGTGAGAGTTCCTTCTTTTCCAAGTGATGCCATCTTCAGACAGCTGGGCATTACAAATATGTAGACGAGTCCACTTAATGCTCCAGTGTACCTAAAAAAATTAAATAAAATCAAAAATTACTTAAATTACAACAATATTTGTCAACTATTTAAATATAACTTCGTCTGCATTTAAACAATAACGAAACAACTGTCCAGCAATCCATTAATTTCGTTTTTTGTAATTTTTTACATTAATGTTAAATTTTCACCTGCTTACTGGCCTGTTTTGAATGACTGGGCTGGGACCAGTAGGCCGTTTCATATCAAGTATTTACATATTATCCGTATTTCCTAATTTTTTACATTAAAATTAAAATTCATAATAAATGTCCTTACCTGATTAGAGTCCCAATTTTCGGCATGAAGCAGGCGAACAGTAAACATACAACGACTATATTAAAGTTAATTAATATAGTCTTTGTATATGAAAATTCGCCGTGCCTATCTTTCCCGAAAATCATCTTAAAACACGATAATATTTCAGTTCTTAACATGTACGTTACAAACGGAAATACTGTGAACAACTGGAAAAACAGCAAAATCCTTGCCGTCAGTGCTAGTAAGTCTCTTTTGGAAAAGTTATTCAGCAAATTCTGTAAAAGTAAACAGTGATTTATTAGATACCAATTTAAATGTCGAAAGGATTAACTTACGTCTTCGATACATGATTTTTTCAAAGGGAAAGTCATGTAGAAAGCTGCTCCGAGAAAGACATACGTAAATGTTACTAAAGCAAATGCTATGGAGAGGTCTCGTCCCTGCAACAATTTTAAATGATTATTATATGTAACACACATAAAGGTTTTGGGAATAAAAGTTAAAGGCCGCTACAAGTGATCCTTCGTAAAAAGATGGCGTCGAGTGATTTACTTCTCGTTTACCTCTATACCAATGGTTCCCAAAATGTACGCCGCGGCTCCCTGGTGAGTCATATAGAGTAAATAGGGGGCCGTGAGGAAACTATACAAAATAAACAATTCAAATCCCGCTGCTTGCGTGGGTCATATAAGCTGATGAGGATCTTCTTTTTTTGTTTTTTTTTTTAGAAGCCCGCTAGAAAGACCTGCTCTTTTCTTTTTTTTTTTAATTTCTGTTTCGTAAATCTGCCAACCCTAGTGCGCCTAGACAAAATACTAAACTTGTAAGGGAACCGCGAACTGAAAAAGTTTGGGAACCCCTGCTCTATACAGTGCTTTAGGTTGAACTCTATTTTCAGAAATTTAAATATTTGTTGCCATTGGAAATCTGTCGAATCCATTGGTCTGCTTTAGAACTATAGAAATAATATAGAAGACCAATATAAATATAACATTTAAGCAGAAATTGAAACCTACTGTGCATAAAAACGCGTCTCTGCGCTTGACATCGCAAAATAGTGTGTCTAGAAGCATGCGCAGTATGCATGACTTGTCCCTGTAGTGTTGCCAAGTATATTAAACATACCTAACACAGAATAATTTCAAATTTATTTGAATTGGGATCGAAACTCGAATAATAACATTTTTCTACAATGAAAGAATTAAATTATTTCATATACAGGATGTACTTTTATTTTCTTAATGTTCAAGATTGAACATACTGTCGGCTCTCAGATGGAGTAATGAGGCTTCCGTTATCGCTTCGGTCCAGAGGCTGCAACTCAACTATCATGTGTCTCAGTCTCGTTTTACCTCCTTGTTCCAGATTGATGTCGGCCTAACCGTTTGCTGACTAATTTCTATCCAATCCAGATGAGTAAAACCAGGATTATTGTGGTAGTTACACTTATGGCATGTGACGTATAGGAATGCTTCTTAACTTGTCTCTATATCTTCTCGTGCAATTCATCTTGCAAATCGTTTTCCTCTGATGTTATTTCAGATAAATTGCCAGTAATTGTGAGGAATTCTTCCAGTCAAACTGTTACTGTTCTTTTTCTCTGTAGAATGTTTTGTTTGGTCTTAATCATGCAATCTTCTGAGAGTTGGAATAGTTTATAGTACCTGCATATGTAAATAAACATTTTAATTAAACTGAATTTAATTAAAATATTTATTTTCATATGCAGGTATTATAAACTATTTCAATTTCATTTCAATGTATATCGTAATAACAAAAATGCTGAATTGTTATTTTAAAATCATTTCAAAACATTGAACTGGGATCGAAATTAGAATAATATTTTTCTAATGTACATTTAAATAATTAAATAATATTAATTGTTATTGTATATTGTTTATTCTGTGATATTATAAATATAGAATCAAATAATAAAGAGATTCAAAACTAAAAAGTTGTAGTATTAACCCGAATTAACAAAAAACCCTAAAGGTCGATTATACATGGTCCTTCGAGCCGGATTGACTAAGAACTTTACAAAATTATCTCTGAAATGAGATTCTTAATACTCAAACTCAAGAAGCATCAAACGCTTTAAACAATCAAAGGACTTCCGTTCGATTGCAGTTCTCCATACTAAAACCCAAGAAGCACCAATGCTTTAAAAACAAATCGAAGCTCGTATCAAGCGAATTCGACAACTATACAACCAAGGGACTTCCGTTCGATTGAAGTTCTACATACTCAAACCCAAGAAGCACCAATGCTTTAAAAAACAAATCGAAGCTCGTATCAAGCGAATTCGACAACCATACGACCAAGGGACTTCCATTCGCAATTGAAGGTTTCCATACTCAAACACAATAAGCATTAAATGCTTTAAACAACCAAGGTACTTCCATTCGATTGCAGTTCTTATCCAAGAAGCACCAATCCTTTAAAAACAAATCGAAACTCGTATTAAGCTAATTCAACAACCATACAACCAAGAGACTTCCGCCCGCTTGAAGTTCTCCATACTGGAAGCTCGTATCAAGCGAATTCGACAACTATACAACCAATTAAGAGACTTCCAACCGATGGAAGTTCTTCATACTCATACCCAAGAAGCATAAATGCTTTAGACGGATAAGTTAAATTCCATAATTTCCGAAGAAAATGGAGTTCTTGAGAAAATCTGGAAGACCATGTGCCATATGATTTAAACAGTTTATATCTACGAAATATCGCCACAAAATAACTTATAAACAATTAAATAATCAACTATAATAATATTTATGTGTAATTAGTAATTACATTCCCAAAATACAAATACGGTATTAATGTTCAAACAAGCGATTCACCTACAAATTCAATATTGACCTGACTACCACTAAAATCCGGAGTTTCAAGTAGAAACTGAAAATTAACCCTATTAAATTGTACCTTTACTTAACATTTGTGACGTCACTTGTTGGCATGGGGTATACTGTCAAATGCAGTTTTCAAGGCATTTTATAAACATAAACCCGATCTCAACGAACTTAGAAACTCTTCTGTCACTCGATATTTTAATTGTTACTTCATCTTCGCTTTTTGGCTGGCACAACAATTACATTTCTTCATTCCTTAACGCGTGCGAACCAGTACGGTTTAAAGAAATTTTAAAAACCTACTTTAAACATTAGGATATTTATGATTTTTTCATGGATCCCATCTTCAGATCTTGACTAATTGTATATGGAACTATTCCTTTTCTAACAAAAAGAGAATCATAGAAATTGGGCAACGTGGTAAAGAATTATCGCTCAACATACACAAAAAAATATTTCAACGAATTGAGAATATCCTCCCAAGTATGTTAAAAAAATTGTTAATAAAGTGTAAAGTAGGGCGTGAACATATATTATAAAGTATATAAAATGATAGATAAAGCCAGTTTAGAAAGTTTTATAAATAAACTGTGGAAATATCGAGATTCTCGATATTGAATCGGAGAAAGGGTATTCTATGCAAATTACAATGAAAGCTGATCAAAATGAAACAAATGAATGACATGCCTAATGTTATTGATGACTTTCCGAAAACTAACTGGATACAGACCGTCAGATAGTGACCGATTTAGGTTCCCCATTCTGGCATACAAGCCTCCAAGAGGGTTGAAAAGTACATCGATATTGAGTAGAATAAAAGAAAATTTACGAGTGGCTCTTGGGGTTAACACATGGAAAATTCGATTTTTCCATATCAGAAAAATTTTCCGACCCCAAAATGCACTTATACATTCGGATCATTCAAGAATATACAGGGTGTTCCAATAGTGTGTGGAAGTTCGATATATCCTATATTATAGAAAATATCAAACAATGTTATTTACAAAAGTTGTAGATAATATTAATCTGCACATTTCAAAATTATTTTCGATTATACATAGTGATCCATAACTTCAGAATTGATCAAATCTTTGTTTTTTTAAGTTGACCACCCTGTATTTAATTATAAATTTAAATTCTCCTGACTTTGCCCTTCGAGAAAATACCAACATGTATGAGGTTATACTGGGTATTTTGGAAGTTTAAACCAATTTTATATGAAAATCGTACTAGGTTCAACCCTCTGTATATTTCAAAAGAAACAATCGAACATCAAAATGTTTTAATGAATCATTTTTAATGATAGTCTACTTTTATAAGAATATACTAATTTTTTCCTATCGCAACAGACGTGTACAGGGTGAGTCAAAACTCAGATACATGATTCTCTAATTTTTTTTAAATGTAACACCCTGTATTTCTTATCACTACTAAAAAGTACTCTAATTATATGTTCGTTTGAATTAAATATTGCTTATCCCTAAACACAACAGTTTAGCGAGATTCTTAGATGAAATGTTAAAAAGGGTTAATTATAACTAAATTCACAATGTAATTTGATTTAAACTCCTGTTAAATATTACATACTAGTTAATCAGTTTATATTTTTAAGGTACCTGGTACAATTTTTCATCAACTGAATTTATTTTTTGGGACCTTTACAACTTTTTATATAAAATGCAATGAAAACGCTACCACGATGAAATACTTCACCGGGACGCTAACGGAACTTCAAAAATTTTTGTGTATTAGGTCAAGTGGCCTTTGAAATTCATGTCAAAAGAATAATTTGACAGTTCCGAATTGTTTAAATAAAAAAATAAAATTACGTTTAGTGTTCACAAGTTTTAAATTTATTGATTTGACTAATTTAAAAATGAATTTTGAAACGAATGAATTGACTGATGATTTTAGTACTAGGGGCTAGTGATGAAAATTGCTTGTTGGAAACTAGAATTTATAAGCAAACATATCCTGATCGCCGACAACCTCGTAAAGAAATTTTTGAAAATCTGTTGAAAATATTCAAACATACAGGTAATGTAGCATATCAAAAAAATAATAGAGAAAAACAAACTTTAAATTAACTCAGTATTCTACTTAGTGTTACCGAAAATCCAAAAACCAGTACACGCAATACGCATCATGGAAAATGAAACGGGAATAAGTAAATCATCTGTCAATAGGATACTATTAAAAAAATAAAGTATATTCATATCATATCCAACGTCATCAGGAGCTTCTTGAAAACGATTTTCAAAAAAGAATACGCTTTTTGTGAATGGGCAATAGAGAGCATTAATAATGAAAATTATTTTTTTGATTGTGTACTTTTCGGGGATGAATCAACATTTCACAAAAACGGTTTCGTCAATAGACACAATTATTAGTATTCCACGACCAATCCTTATGAGTTAATGACACATAGCCAAACACGATGGTCTATTAACGTTTGGGGTGGTATATTAGGGGACTATGTCATAGGACCACATTTCTTTCATGGTCATGTAACTGCCGAGGTCAACTTAGACTTTCTGCAGAATCATCTACCACTACTATTGGAAAATGTTCCACTAAATATAAGCCGGCGAATGTGGATATTACATTATGGAGCTCCTGTACACCATGCTCAACCAGTTCGCAACTTTCTGAACCATAATTTTAAAAACAGGTGGATTGGAAGAGATGGTCCAGTTATGTGGCCTCCCAGGTCCCCAGACCTCACTAAAGTAGATTGTTTGTGGGGTTTTCTAAAAAACGAGGTTTATAAAACTAGTCCATTAACTAGCGATGAAATGAAGGAAAGAATAAGACAAGTGTTCGCGAGCATAGATGTACAATGTTTGAAAAACGTTCAAAGATCATTTGAAGCTAGATTACAACATTGTATTGCAGTTGGAGGGAGTCACTTTGAGCAGCTTTTATAATAGCTTTTTTCTTCATTTTTTAATATACTAATGTTGCATTCTAAAAAAATTAAAATAACTTATTTTTGGCTCATATTTTTTTCATTCAAATATAAAATATCTTCTGTTGTTGTGTTTGGGGATAGGGACAAACGAACGTATAATTAAAGTACTGTTAGTAGAGATATGAAATACAGGGTGAACCTAACCTTAAAAGTAAAGAAAGTAAAATTCAGTTGATAATAAATTGTAGCTAGGTACCTTAAAAATATAAACTGATTGATCAGTATATTTTAACAGGAGTTTTAATCAAATTACATTGTGAATTTAGTTATAATTAACCCTTTTTAACATTTCATCCAAGAATCTCGCTAAACTGTTGTGTTTAGGGACAGGAAATATTTAACTCAAACGAACGTATAATTAGAGTACTTTTTAGTAGTGATATGAAATACAGGGTGTTACATTTAGAAAAATTGAGAAAATCATGTATCTGAGTTTTGACTCACCCTGTACACGTCTGTTGCGCTAGGAAAAAAGTAGTATATTCTTATAAAAGTAGACTATTATTAAAAATGATTTATCAAAAAATTTTGATGTTCGATTGTTTCTTTTGAAATATACAGAGGGTTTGAACCTAGTACGATTTTCATATAAAATTGGTTGAAACTTTCAAAATACCCCGTATAACCTCATACATGTTGGTATTTTCTTGAAGGGCAAAGTCAGGGGAATTCAAATTTACAATTAAATATAGGGTGGTCTATTTAAAAAAACATAGGTTGATCAATTCTGAAGTTATGAATCACTCTTTATAATCGAAAATAATTTTGAAATGTGCAGATTAATATTATCTACAATTTTTGTAAATAACATTGTTTGATATTTTCTATAATATAGGATATATCGAACTTCCACACACTATTGGGACACCCTGTATGTTTTTCGGACTAGTGACGATGTACGTTTTCATACATTCGATTTTTCCTTGGAAGATTACACCCTTATTTCAACCCTTTAGCCACACTTGCAACATTAAAGCCTTTGGTTTTGAAGCCTAGTTCTATTAATTAATCATATAGTGAAAACGGCTTGCGTGGAAATATGAGCAACAAATAACCTTTTATTTTTGTTAGAGAAAATCGAATTTTCTATGTGTTATCCCCAGGAGCCACTCGTAAATTTCTTTTCATTCTACTTAAAATCGGTGTACCTTTCAACCCTCTTCGAAGCTTGTATGCGAAAATGGGGCATCTAAACCTGTCACTATCTGACGGTCTAATAATTCGAAAATCATTTCGTTTTTTATATAGAATCATCTCTAAAAATGTATGACTTCCAACCTGAAACATCGTGTGAACTATTCGATCAATAAAAAACTTGCACCAGTCCTGTCCGAGCCAGCACCGTTATGCTTATTGTTTCATTTTTGATATATATGCAATTGGCCTTCTATACTATTTCTATGACCAGGACTCTATGACGATTTGAATAATTTTTACACTATATACAGGGTTTTTGGATAAGTTGCCTGTTATGAATGTTCATTTAATTTATTTATATAACTTTGATATTTATACAGTTAAAAAATTAACGAGCTGAATTAATTTTTTAACACCATAAATAACAATTATTTGTAAATTAAATAGATAAGACTGAAATAATGTTTTATTGTTCTTATGTGGATGTAAATAAATTCTTGTTTATTAATTTTTATCTTCAAAAATTCTGACCCAAATAAAAATTCAATATGTTGTGATTCATTTAATAAACAATTTATGGAAAATACGTTCCACCGAATTTTTGTGTATGCATTATCTACATTAAAATGCAAAAAGGTCGATTTTTACATGCTATTAATAGAATTCACTAGATCATTAAAACTGACAAAGAAGTTGCAATTAATTTTTGTAATACACAGATTTCAACAAAATAATTGAGCCTTGAGAAAATTTAATACATTGCCTTTTGCATTTCATAAAATAAATATATATATATATAGGATTCTTGAATACCAACAAAAAACTTTACTTGTATTTTTTGGTAATAAGATTTGTGTCGCTCTGTATTTTTGAAACAAAGCGGCTTCTCAAAATACATCAAAGAACAAAATATTCTTAGAATATAGTCCCGGAAATAACCCGTTCAATTTTTATCGTATATTACGTAGAATTACCAATGGCGAATAAGTTTTCACTTCTGACAAAATCAATGAAAGAATATCTTTAGACATACGACTCAAAGACAAAAATGACATTGAAGAAGCTGTAAAATACTTAACAGAACAAATTCAAAGCGCCGCTTGAGAAGGTACTCCTGTAAATGAAAAAATAATTGAAGAAAGATGCAGTATACCTTACCACATTAGAACACTAGTTTTTTATGAAAAAATTTCAAATAAAAGTATAATTTTTTGGTTTGACTTACGTTGTTGCTTTGATACTCGTTGTGCCGCATTATAGAAATGATGATGTTGTGAATGAAGTAGCTCATCGTCAGCATTCCGCTAAGGACGCAAAACGTTGATTTTATGCTGAATTCGATCGCCCAGTCGTCCATGTTTATACCCCAACCAAAAGATTTCACTGCTACGAAGATTATCAGATAGGAAATGCTTAAAGTACCTGCCAAAAAGATTAATTTTGATTATAAACCTCCGATCCTGGACCTGCCTGCAAGGTGCCGAAGGAGCAACCCGAATAGAGAAAATACCATTACGTTACACTTCGTGCATCGATGTCATCGCTTCAAAACGACTAGATTTCAAACTAGAGCACTATGGTTTCAATGAACCAATTTTTTGGCCAAAAGTCAAAACAAGATTTAAAAAATAAATTATGGACTCAACTGTTTTTAATGGAGTATATTAAAAGTATAAAATTAATTTTGGGTCTTATAGAACTAGATTTAAAATAATAAATACCTTTTTTCTTAACCCTTTCGCGGACACCTGAAAATTTGTTGGTCTGCTCAAAAACGCACTATCAAAATTCACTTTAGTGTAATAATTTAGATTTGATGAAAAATAAAATTAACAGTAATAACCAATTTTAATGTAATTTATAAAAAAAAGATTGCTTCTGCATCCGACTGGTAGTGGTCTGTGCTAAGTACCAATACAGTTTTTTGGATATTAGCTTTCCAACTATAGGGGTGTGGCATCTCTTGGAGACGTCATCAACTACATATTATAGATTGAAGAGTTGAAGACGGCCCACAGAGACACTTTTTAGTGACGTCATTTACCATATGGTGTAGGTTGGAGACGGTCTAGAGTGAAATCTCTTGGTGACGTCATAAACTACATAATTTAGGCTTGCTGACGAGTCGAGAGATGGTTCACTTATTCGGGTATATGCAAAATGGTTCTAGTGACGCCTAAGTCCTGTGGGCAAACCCACTCTCCCCCATTTGTCAATAACAGATACAGATGGACCGGACCTTTATATCAGTCACTGTTACACCAAAAAATTACAGTGAGCTAGCCCCCTACACCATTTTCTTTTTTTTTGTGACTGAAAACGAATACGGGGCCAGTTTCCCCCATCATGTCACAATTATTTGCTACAGTCAGAGAAACTGATTGTTGATTTCTCTGGCTGTGACAAATAATCCTGACATGAGGGGGCAAACACACCCAAGAATCGTTTTCGGCGACCCAAACAACGGATGAGAAAGAAAAGAGACGGTGTGTATGATAAAACTGAAACAAAATTAGAAGAATAAATCAAAATATTCTTTATTGTAATAAAACAAATTTGTAAATAAAAACAAACAGAACAAAAGTTCAGTTCATTCATTCTCGTGCCATTTTTGAAAACAAGCTCCAGCACACAGTGGAGGATTATCAATGCAATTTTTACAACGCCAGGATGTTTCCTTTCTCACATTGTCCTTAGAGCATTGTCTACATCGTAGGTGGTACATTTTTCGCCTATATCCTTCAGGCACATGAATTCGTTCTTGTTAGTGAGGTTCTCGTATAATGCCTTGATCAACTGTGACAATTATTTTCCTTTGACCTCCATGTCTAGAACTAACTTTTACAAAATGTCTACCATCACTATCATGTAGAGTTTGTAGAGGTACACCAACATAACTTTTTATTAGGTAGTTTCTAAAATCCAGCAAAGTCATACAGTTCTCTTGATATTCCAACTTTTTCTTGCGATAGAGATAATAAGCATTGATAACTGTTATGTCCAATAAATGAAATATTATTTTATTGTACCAGCGAATAGTTCGTCTGGGGCATGAGTAATACGATATGAGTTGATCATTACACCAGACATATAATCGTTATATTCGATAATAGATTTTGGTTTGATTTTAGCTATTCCAAACCTCTTTCTTGTTTCAACTAATGCTGGATGGTAACGAGTCGATATACTACATACATTTCATTTATCCTTCCAATTAGATACATAAACATTTCCTTTTCTTCTCCAAATGTGCTGTCCTCTTCTAAGTATCGCTCCTGTAACATTTTTTGGATTATCTCTCCTGTTCGCCCGAAGGGTTCCAGTGCAATGTGTATTTTTTTCTAGTAATTTATTACACAACGCTACACTGTTGTAATAATTTTCCATAAATACGTCATGACCTTTATTCAAATATGGATCCAGTAGGCGAAGGACAAACGAGTGTAATTTTGGAGGACCATGAGCATCTTCATCTACGACGGTTTTACACTGAAATATTTCAACATTCAGCACATAATCGTCAGAGTTACATAGTTCGTAAAACTTTATACCGTATTTAGCCCTCTTACTTTTCATATATTGTCGAAATACAAATCTACCTTTCCACAATAACAGCATATATTTTCTTCAGGATAAAAGGCTCTTTGAAAATTTAATACCAAGCAACTGACTAATTGTTCCACTTTTTGTAAACGACCTTCGTTTCTGTTCCCTATTTTGCAGCTCAAACATCGCAAAATTTGCTCAAACCGTCTTTCACTCATTGTTGCACAAAATATTGGATGGTAAAAAAAATCATAGGAAAACATTTTTCTTACAGATGGAAAATGTACTTGTCCTTGCAACATACAAAGCCGTAGAATTTTTTTAAATTCTGCTGCATTCAAAATTTTCCAAGAACTTTTTTTACTTTATCTCCTATGTGGTCTTGTTTCACTTGTGATATTCCTTCCATAACTATTGGTATTAGATTTGTTACTTGTTCGGTCCACAGCAATTTAAATATTTCGGAGGGAGTAGCATTTACTGGTATATCAACTTTCACGCCAGTTGAATTTATATCAAAATGAAATTCAGGAATATCTCTCGTATTGTCGCTATTATTTTCCTCTGGAACAAATTCATCTGAACTACCGCCACTTTCAGATATTTCTGCCTCATATGAGGCAGAAATCTGTCTCGACTTTATTCAGCCGCATTTCTTCAGACGACTCCATTATACAATTTTATGCAAATAGTACCTAATTCCAATAAAAGCAACTCTATACATTGGCTTTTCGAAACAAACTAGCAATAAAACGTAGATATCATGTGAAGCATAACGTTGGACACTTCTCTCGATTATCCTCGTATTTGGCTCCTCCTTCTTTCTCTTACTGGTGATTAGACATGGGTAACGCACTAAAATTCTTTGCGTTGATACACTAACTCCGGCGCACTCTATTGCGCCAACTCATTGCGTTAACGCAATTGCGTTATTGCGTCACACCACTGCCTGCGCCGAATGAAGTCGATGCACCTCGGTGTATCGCATGATACCGGTGTTATACAGCGCGGGCTGTCTTTTGTTCAAGGCAATAACGCAATTGGGAATTTAACTAATTTTTTTTTATTATATGTTTAAAAATAAACGAAAATATAATTGTAATGCACTCATTTTTTTATTTCATTGTGTTCGGATTTTACAAAAAATACAAAAATTCCAATTTATATAAAAAGAATATAAATTTTGTATACTAGTAGCCAATCAAATTGAAAAGAACTAAAAATTGACAGTGTACAAGAAAGATTTTGGGTAATCTGCATTACGAGTTGCATCAATTACGTAAATTAAAATTCTCAACTCGTCACGGAAAACGGAATCAGTGCCTGGCGCATGGCGCACCAACAACTCGCGATCCTTTCGAGTCAGTATCGAAAATTGCGTTGCGCTGATACAGTAACAACTGGTGTATCAACGCTCGTAACGCATACAACTGCGTTAACGCAATAACGCAACGCAGCGCTGCGTTACCCATGTCTACTGGTGATTCCCACTAACCAAAATGCTTTACAATGGGACACCGTCATATGAATTGGTAAATAGGTACACTTAACGTCGGTCGCGAGTCGCGACCGTCTTGGTTCTAACGTTCAGAATAATGTGGACGGCTGTGACCGTCATGTCCCAAACAAGGATCTAATTAATGACGGTCACAGCAGTCTTGTCCGCGAAAGGGTTAAAATATATTTGATAGTTAAAATAAAAAGTAAAATCACATTTCCATATCTAACTCAAGTGAGTTCAAATGATCAGGCATTATCTCTTCCAAAATTGTTTCTTCTCCTTCGTCTTCGCCATAATCATCTTCTAAATTTTCTTCATGTTCCAAAATTTGTGGTTATTGTTCCAAAAGCATTTCTGTAACTTCAGCTGGAAACTTGAACTTTTGTTGTTTATTCGTTTTTGTAAGTTTATACTTGAAATATTGGGATCTGAGGTGTCCATAGCTCGATGAAAAACATCTTCGAGATTATTTTGTCGGCTTCTTTTCCTAGCGTGAAATTGTAAAGTTTATTTCTGGCTTCAGATCCCTCTTCCCCGAAATATCCCACGGGCAATTTGGTATTCTCCATTATCTGTCTGCCATGTACTAAAACTTTGTGAATAGTTGCAGGCATAGGATATCAGGAATATTTTTTCATGTATAGTCTGGCAGTTTTATAACAAAAAATTTCAAATTTGTCTGCATCTAGTTGGTACTGGCAAGACAAAGAAATTAGGATGATTTTAAATTTTTTTATTAGAGTTTCATCAACATCTGGTATTTCCGAAAACAGTTTGGTATTGCTAAAGGCTCTACGAGCAGTATTGCCATCATTTGTGCTACCAAATCCACTTGATTTTGGTTTATCTACATGTAGATGTAAAAGGGATAAGAATCGTTCTTGAATAATTTTTTTTCTGTTGTTAAATCTTTCTTTATTTTCGGTACCTCTAACTTGCCATTCACATAAATCATGCCTGTAGGATATGTGTAGTATGCACTCGAAAAAATGTATCCAAGCATGTAATGGGCTTATTCCATATTGTAAAGTATTTGGTTTTGGGGTTCTCGACTTTTAAAAAACTTCGGGGAGTAGCACCACATATTGGACAAGTTTGACTTGACTTTGTACCAGTTAAGTATTAAGTACCTTTCCATCAATTAAAGTCATAAAAATAATACATTTAATATTTATTAGCTTATTTTCAGGTAATAGTAATTTTAGTTTCTTTAGTTTTTCAATCTGCAAGTCAATATTTTTTTCTCTTTTAATATATGTTCTGATGATTCTTTAGTATACTCTAACTTAAGTGGTCTACAAAACCGAACAGACTGAGGAGTTCTATTGTTCCACAAAATGACATTATTTTTTGACTGCAAACGAAGAGGTATATA